GTGCGAAAATAAAAAAAAAGTTTTGCAAAAAAAAAAGAAGTTCTTTTCATTATGAAATCTACGTGGTCATGAGGGTTGAGCAAATGGCACAGAATATGGTTTGGCGAATAATCTAGTCTTCAAGTTCATTTCTTTACAATTTCGTCTTTTTTCGTTTGATTTTGGCATTCTACGACATTGGCATAGTTTTTATTAATTTTTTTTGTAACTTATGCTATATTTTTGCTCATTTTGCAACTGTTTTGTACGATTTACAGTATGGTTGAAAACTTTTTTTTTTTTGGAGACGGCCGAAAATTCATGCGCGCGCGGATGTCATCCATATAATCAAATCAACATGGCCTTACTAGTAACACAGTCACTGTTATGAGCGTCTATGAAGTTCTTTGCTTCAATTTGTCACTTCAACAGCTTGAGAAAGGTAGAAGATCTACTGATTGAGAAACGGTGCTGTTGGTGATAATTTTCTACAGTCTGGTCAGTCAGTAGTATTAGTGTACCTGTATCCACAGGTGTAGTCTGACTCAGTATCTCATCAGTTGTTGGCTTGACAGGGGGGTTTCTCAGGGGGGAGGGGATGGGGGGTCTGGAGTGGGGATCTGGGAGGAGGGAGAGAAGACAACACTTAAGGATTGGTTCATTTAACCTATAATTAGTGTAGTTGTTGCATATATATTCCAAACGTTAGTAATCCTTGAAGTCTTTGCATTGTAGATGGAAGCAGGTTTGAAAGTTCCATCCAAATGTTAGGCCACACCAATGTGATTTGTTGGTTCTCAGATTTTTTCAGAAAAAATATGAAATGACAGGAAAAAACATGTTAGCCCCCAATGCTATGTTATAGGAGCCACAAAGTCAACATGCCAGGCTGGTTTGTAATTCAATGAATTTCAAACTTTCAATCAAACGACTGCATTGATAGATTGACAAACTGTTACAATCTGAAGAGAATGGACTTCCTTCTATTCAACTTCTTTGGGAAGTTGGACTTCCTTTAGTTGATTCAGAGCTTGAAATTATTATTTTTTTTCAGATCAGAAAAAAAAGAAGCTGGCAAATCTGTGAGCCCACAAATTAAATTGGTGTGGCCTTATCATGATGATAATGTAGCACAAACCTGGTCGAGGAGGAGACTTCTTGAGGATACCGACAGGGTGCTTCTTGTCCATGGTTCTCTCAGGCTTGGCATTGACCTTGGCATACGGGGGTTCTACTGGTGCTGCTGGTTGAATGGTCGACACTCCATTCTCTACTGTTACTGTCAGCTGACAGAGAACACAGGGAAGGTAGTTATCAACACTGTGATGTTGACCAATTTAAAGACTATGAAATTACAAGTTCAAGTTTTAGAATTTTGACATGTTGTAATATTTTTATTAAAGCTGAAGAGACCTAACCATGCCAAGCAGAAGTAAGTTGATAAAACAATGTAAATTGTATAGTATGTGTTGTAATCTTTCACACTTCTAAGTTTCCTGCAGTGTTCTTTCCAATATCATGCCAATTTTTCCGAATTTAAGTTTCAAAAAGTTTAAAGTCAAAGCATTTAAAGCAAAAAAGCCTGAAAATTATTAACTCTTACAAGAGAGATACACATGCATAATACAAATGTACACAATAATGAACAATACAACTGTTACACTGCTTTTTGTACAACTTACCATCAGCAAAGACCTGCACACCCTAGCTGGCACATGTTTCTTTCTGACCAGTCTGGGGCCACTTTGGGCCATACTCGCAAATTACAAAACACCTGTTTTTGCTGGCGTGAAACACCTGTTGCTCATGATTATAGCTTTTGTATAAAAATATCCTTTCTGTGGAAGCTGAGTGACCATAGAAAACATTATTATGGCGGTAAATTCTACCTTCCAGAATTCCCATCTATCTAAAGCACACAGGTCCCGTAATATCTTCATGAATTTTCCAACAGGAAATGCCACCCTATGCATGTTTTCAACCACAGGCAAAATATTTTCAACATCCCTGTCACATTAGCTTACACTCGACTGATCATGATGACCTTATAAATGCATGTATGTCATTTTCATGACTAATTCTTACAGTAACTCCACCCAGGTAATAAATAATTCAATGACAGATTGATTATGATGCGTGAAATGTTGTGTTGTACTGTGTGTGTTGTTGAAAATGGCAGACTGATGATTTGTACATCTCACCTGTTCATCTGGCTCCACAAAGGCAGACACAGATCTATTTTGAATCAGACAATGTTGATGGGAGAGGGTTAGCAGTCTAGTAGGGCTTCTCAGTAGTACTTTGTGCTCTTCTGTTTTTTTTTTTCATTTCCAACATATTCTACTACAACCATATAGGAAAACATTTACCACCTAAGGCCACACCAATTTAATTTGTTGGTTCTCGGATTCGCCTCTTCATTTTTTTCTGATTTGCAAAAAAAAAAAAAAAGATTCTGGTTCTGAATCAACTAAAAAATGCTCATATTTTGCCCCCAACAGTTGAGGAAATTCCTTTTCGTCCTAGTTGTTACAGTTTTTCTATCTATCAATGCAGTCTGGTTTGATTAAAAGTTCAAAATTTATACTTTAAATTTTAACCCAGCCTTTTTTGTTGACTTCATGGCTCATATCGTAGCATTTGGGGCTATAATAGGATGCCTAGACCTGTTTTTATTTTTATTTTTTTTTTGCCCTGTCACTTCATATTTTTTCTGAAAAAATCCGAGAACCAACAAATTAAATTGGTGTGGCCTAAAGTAGTTTTCATAGATCAACAGTCTTATATAATGCTGTTGGGTACCCTAAGGCTACCACTGAAAAAGGCCAACAGTGTCTTATCAATGCATTGTGAAGAAAGTCTTGAACATCTACATAGACATCTGAACACAAATTACTGTAAAATTCTTTGAATTCACTCTGACTGCCTTCAAGTGCATTAGAAAACCCAGCACAATTATAAGTCTCAGAGTAAAAATAATGCATCTGCATCTGGATACTATAAAATATGCTTTGCCTACTACTACTTTTAACAGTAATTAAAAAAAAGATAACATTTGTGTGCAGCAAAAGTGTGCAAACTTTTGGCCTCGATATCAACAATCATCATTTCCACAAGAGCATGATAAGCGAAAGAAAGGTTTTTGAATCAAAGCAATTTGATCATTGGTTCATGAAACAATCTGACCGAAGCCCTGAATGAGTAACATGTGATCAGCAATGTCAAATTTACATTGTTAACCACAAACTCAAAAGGTGCATTGCTCTTGTGCATTATCAATTTCATAGGACTGGTGCATATGTCTGTGCAGGCACCTAACGCATCTGAAATGGACAAACCCTTTCGGTGATAAGGACCCCTCAGAAGTTATGTCTTCCCTAAGTCTCTCTTGCGGAGGGGAGTGTTCATTGTTGGTCAGGGGTGCTTCCTCGTCAAATCTACAAGAGAATTCTCATGTGTCATTCTGTTCATTGACAAGCTTTTAAGTTGAGTAAATTAAACAAATCAAGAAAAGGAGCAAATACCAGGTCTTGTCTCAGTATATTCAATTATACCTTCCAATCTACATGTATTTATTAATGAAATCACAAGATAGAACTTAGAACCATATATATAATTGCAATGTAGCATTCCAGATAGATTTCAGATATTTCTGCCATTTTTTAAAACATGAGGACATGGAAACCAAAGTCATGTTCCTATGTCATATCCTGTTCATTGTCAGTAACTTAACTTGTAATGTTGCATAACAAAGTAAATGATTACTTTTATGATTACGTTACCACATTATACATTCAAGTAGAATTAACATAATGATCGTTCTTCACAAGAATGAAAACTTGGGTAAAAAATAGTGACCAGTACATCATGTTGCATACTTACATATTCATATTGGATTTCATATTATACTTCACACAATAGTCACCGATTGATAGAAAGTCACAAAGATATTTACATTTTAGTCCCCCAAACAACTGGTGCAACTATACTCCATGTAACTTCACCTTAAAAAATGTTACTTATAACTACACAGTAGTACTGTATCAACATAGCTCACAAGAATGTTTTCAATAAGGTGAGATTTATCTTAATATAATATAATACAAATGACAAAATAATGGGAATAACAACTGTTACAGTGAATACTGATACCCCCGGTACAGGTTAAAAGCAACTTAGAAGCATACTTCCTTAACCACCATGTTGAAATACAATAAAAGGTTACAATCTATGAAACTGTGTTGACATGTAGACTTAGCAATGGGATACATTTTATACAGCTTTTCTATGATTCAGAAGATATCTTTGGTGCAGACAGTGTTTTAGAAGCAAATCCAGCAGAACTTACAAGGTAGAGTGCTGCCCGGTGAACATGCAAGTGACAGAAGTGGTAGTGCATAGGGTGCTGTCAAAGTACGTGTGACATCATAGCCGGACAGACCTTCTGTCGTACGCAGGATTCTGCACGCCGCGAGGTCGGTACGCCGGAGTGAACAACGTCTCGTCCACGGTTTTCACTTGGGCTTCTTTGGGATCTTTAGATGCAACTGTATACAGTACCAGAAGGAACAAGAGTATGTAAGTTACAGCAAGTAGCTATTTAATTTTTTTCTTTAAACAACGTCTCATCCACGGTTTTCACTTGGGTATCTTTGGGATCTTTTTTAGATCAACTGTATACAGTACTAGAAGGCAGAAAAGTATGTGTAAATAACAGCAAGTATAGCTTAAAAAAAAAAAATGAAACAACGTCTCATCCATGGTTTTCACTTGGGATCTTAAGATGCAAAAAAATTACAGTACCAGAAGGAAGAAAACTTACAGCAAGTAGCTATAATGACATAAAGTACATTATAATGATTAATTTATTAGACATTTTGATTCATTTGTTCTTTGATCTTCAAAAAAAATGCAGATCTGAGGCACAACTTTACAGTTCAGCACCAAGGACATGCACCGCCTTTACAACATGGAATAGCAGCTCGTTTTTGTCACATAGTGCATTGAAACTAATTTTGAAGGACAACACTAACACTTAATATGAGAAATATATAATTATATATTTTAGGGAACAGTTATCCCTATGAGATCACTGTTTTAGTACAAGCTGGTATCATTACTGAACTTCTAATAGTAATATATTTTAAGAAATACAGAAACTACACTTAGGTTGATTACATCCATACTGATTTTATCAACTTAGTAAGTGTTTTATATAGATTTTTATAAACTGCACTGACCCTCCAAGTTTGTACCAAGAAATCCATTTCCTTTGGGTTTTTCACGTCTCAGACATCTTTGGGTTGAGCGTTACGTGTGGAGAAAATATCAACATGTGAAACAAATCAGCACAAAAGTCATTCATACATGTAATCATTGTGAATAAAATGCCTTCAATTCTCACACTTTGAAAGCTGAAAACGGTCAGATATCTTGAATTAAATGAAACTCGACAATCTTCAGATCTTCAGGTCTTTAGAAATGGTACCTATGATAATTGTAATAGCTGTAGAGATCCTGCCCAGCTAAGAAGTACATGGGTTACCTGTGCTTGAGGCAAAATGTTATGCAAATGAGGCTGACAGTTCCAACAAACAGCACAGCCCCCAGCCCAATCAGAATGCCCTCCAACACGGAGCAGTTTGCTTCTGATGCACAAGTTTCCGCCTCCAGGGGCTGGATGGAGGAAAAAGACAACCAACAAGATTACACATACCAGTATAATTCTTTGTACAATTACCTCAGGTACACAATCACATTTTGTACCTTATAAGGTGAACAACTGCAACATCCTTATTGGGTGCTATGTGGGCAGGTATATGTTCTGACAATGAGTTAATACAGTTAAGGTTGCTCGATCATAGGTTGAGTTGTCAGAATTTTAAGACTATGTCAAAATGAAGATGGTGGTGGATGTTTATTTTGAAAACGTGAGGACTGTATTGGGAATATAGGGTGTTGGAACACACATGTAGGAGTGTTACTGGCTATCACAACCAAAATGTGAAATAAACAGCATTCATGATGTCCAACAAGCTTTCAGTAATCAGGTACATAGTTATTTATTTATCTTACCGTCACTTGAGAGATGGATGCTGACGACAGGACGGCACTGTCATCAGTGATCAGTCTGGTAGTACAGAGAAGTGGGGTTAGGGCACGAAGTGGCAGATAAATAAAATGTGCTCAATCCAAAGTAGTTTAACTATTATATAGTGATTTTTCCCTTAGTTATCTCCAAGCAGATCTTTCAATGGCTGCAAAAGATAGTATCAAAGACAAGGTGGATGGCAAAATGGTAACTGCCTGGCCAATTTAATACTGAAAGATCTGCTTGGAGATGACTAATTTATGAAAATAAAAATGTTACCTGTTAATTGTTAGGTCAATATTTTGAGAGAAACTGTACACACATACATGTAGAGGGGAAAGCAACACATAGAGATCACAATGATCAGCCAAAATTGTTGTTAATGACCTTGATAGTGTATTAGCATCAGTCACCAGCCTGGTGGTGGTATCAACCCCATGTACGGTCACATCCGACCTGCAACAACAACAACAACAAAAGCTGTGTCATGCTACACTTCATTACAGCACCTAATCACCTATAAATCTAATTAACCATGCTGTGGATTAGGTAGCTCATGAAGGTAACCACCTGTCTGAAGCTTGTTTGAAAGGATTAAGGAAAATTGAAAAATTTCAGTTACAGTTAGATTTATGTTTATGTTTTATTAAATATCCATTAAATTAGATAACAAATCTAATCTATTCCTCCTGGATTCATAAAACACAGAGTACACAAATGTAATACAAATTAAGGCATATAACATAACACTTGCATCCATTAGACTACAACTACCATAAAACTACAGAGCAATAAACGATTACAGCTACAAAGCAACATGACATTTATTTAACAGATCGCTTTTGGGAGGTCAGAGGTCGCATACAATGATAATATATTCAAGTTCTTACTCTTACAGATTAACTGAGATCTTGAGATGAGGATAGAATGGAGACTGTAGGTTTTGGGTAATATACATGTTTCTACACTGATTCCATAGTTCTGCATTGGCCTGGGGGGGGGGGAGCTACCATGCCATCTCAATTATCAATTCAATAAGTCATGGTGGATTGGTTAGCTCATTGCAATATTTTTTTTTTTATTTATTCAGAAACACAATGAGAATTACAAATGAAAAGACATGCCATTGGACTAAGTGACTGCGAACTCAAGTTAGGTACAACTTATATTCTCGCAGCCACTTTTACAATGAAAGAAAAATATTTTACAAGACATTTAAAAATACATGAGACCTCGCGTGAGTATCAAACCTCCCATCCCAGAAGACACATACAGTTAGAATCTTTTTGTTTCTAATATATAATTTTGTGCGGCTAACATTATTTTACAGTTGGTATCATGCGAACAAAGGAAACTACCGCAATATTTAATTATGTAAGTTGCATTTTACAGGCAGCGATGTTCCTTACTTGGTTTCATCCACACTGCTCTTCTGTGGCATGTGGTACTGGATGTCATCCACCACCACCTCCAGTCCTGTAGATGTCTGTAAGGATCTAAAGCAGGAAGCACACAGCAAAATTATCATTTAGAAAAAATGTGTGATATTATAACACATTGTATGGTCATCAATGTCCATTGGTGGGGTGGGTTTGCTAGAGGATTAGTGTAATATAGATTATAAACATTCAGGCACATTTACATAGTCTTAAGTTTGACAACTTTGTTTTCTGCGTCAGTCTTTAAATTTTGTTTTTACATCAGATATTCTGAAGTTCAGCTTTGAAAGCTTCATCATTTGAATGTAAAAACTACCTAGCTTTGTTTGTGGATGATTACTTGATTTTCAAAAGACCAAGAATGGGAGCAACTACAGAAAAAGATGTCAAGATAAGTACATGTGCAAACTTTAAGAAGATATTACTGACCTGACCAAATTGTCCTCCTCACTCCTAATGTCTTCAGGAGACCTGTCTATTGTCAACAGAACCTGCTGATTTTCACTCAGAATGTACACCTGACATACAAGTGGGATATAGTTAGTACTATGTAAGGGATATCAGGGCTTGGAATCAGTAAACACTGGGTAATGTGAAACTTTTGCATTGGTTTTATTTAATGTTTGGAGGAAAGAGTAGGTTTTCACTGTGTTTTAAATCCATGGTTGAAGCCATGCAGTATTCGTATACAAGGAAAAAGTATTTCAATCTACATGTAGTGTGGTGGAGATATCATCACTTAAATAAAACCACTGCAAAAAGTTTTCACAATTTACAGTACACTTGAAAGTAGTATATATTTCATTAAAGTATTCAGTATTTCTTTAGACAGAGTTCTTGATCATATTAATTTCTCATTAAAATATGCAAATCCTACTTGGCTTTCTTTTTATATCAATTGCTGCAATAGTTGTAAAAAAAACAAAAGGCACTCACAAAATCACAAATAGGAGTACATATTAAACACACTCAAGAAAGAAATCAATTATTATACATCTTAAACTTACTTCAACCTCTGCCACATCAACAAAGTCCGCTCTTACAGAATCCACAGCCTGAATCAACAGTTTGAAGTATCCCTTATCCATGTAAGAACCAAACAGCTCATTGGTGATCAGAGACCCATCAGTCCTGTCCAGCCTAAATGTATCTGGAAAAGAGAAGGAGGAGAAACTATGTCAACAAAACCTGCTTAATAAGTTTCTCACATGTGAAAATACTGCATGGTACTAGTATGGCCTAAATCACTTAAATCACACTTTTGGCAGCCATTCCACTGGTCAAGCTCATAGAAGCTCGAACATTCAATTCAGATAACGTTTATTGTGATTGCTGTCAATCACCAGACATACGCAGTTACAAAAAACTTCCAATGAGAACCATGCTATCAGGATCCAATCAAATAGAAAGTAGAAGTAGAGCTGCATTTCAGCACCAAGGACAGACATCAAAAATTTTTCTATGTGTGTTTCAAGAGTACTTGTATTGCATTTGCAACAATGATTAGAAATTCTACAGCTAGTCAATGGCATTGATTGATTTCATATGACTGGGAAGAATTCAATAGAGTACAATGGAGTTTATCTAATTTCTCTAATAACAGAACCAAAACGTTAAATCCTTAAGGAAAAACCTACCTGGACATGGGGTCCTGCTGTTCTGTTGTACAAAGTTGCAGGAGTGTAGGTAGAACCACGTCACACTGAAGTTCCCAGAGTCAGCATCAGAGGCCTACAGAACACCATAGTACAGTCAAACCTGGCCTTCCAGCCACCTGAACCATCCAACCACCTCCAAATACAAGCCACATAACAGTACAAAGTACAGTCAAACCTGGGTGGACAACCACCTGCTGTCACAAGCCACTTAAAAACACTTCCGTACAATTTTACATAGTTAAGACCCTCAGTTAAGCTACCCAACCAGTAACCACTTTTTTGCAGCCACCCAAGGGGAATTCATAATGTTATGAAAAAGTTTTTTGCTTACCTCAGTCCGAATAACTGTTGTTCCATATTTTGTATCCACTGACACAACTGTAAATTCAGGAGACAGGAAAGGTACATCAACATGTGCTTCATTCAAGGGAAAATTCTGCTACATACAACTGCCTTCTTGCTCTTCGACTAGCATCTTACAGACTAGCTTATTAGTGCTGCTATCAGAGGAATTTGCTCTATAAGTTTATCTATGTGATGGTACCAGTATGACAATCTGTTCTGACACGACAGGGGCCGACATCATCTACCAGATACCTTTGACCCAGTGTTGACGTCACACTTCAAAGAGGCCACGTGACATCGACAAGCTTCACTGGGTCAGTCTACTGAAGAAGACCAGAGTGATTGGTCAAAAGCTCTAGGTGAGAGAATTTTTTGTGTTGGACCAAAAGTTTTAACTTTAAACGGTTCTAACGAAGAATAGCCTACCAGTGCTGTACTTCTGTCTGGAGAATCTGGGTGCATTGTCATTGGTATCTTCTAGATGTATAGCAACTTCCAAGACTGAAGGATCATCATGTGTGGATCTTCTTCCTCTTGTGGTCAGTGCAGCTGTGTTGAACTCAGGGTCACTCGAAGTCTTGATCGTCAGTTTGAAGTCACTCTGGACCTCATAGTCAAGGTCGGATGACCGTATGGACAGAACTCCTGTTCTCTTGCTGATGGCAAATTTGTTACTTGCTCCACCTATTGGTTTGATAGGAAATTGCAGGTCACGAATCATAAGGGAGCTACATACTCTGAGGACAGCACTTTGGTAGAATGTATCTGTTTAAGGTTGTACTCGCATATTTGAGGATGACATCCTAACTATGGTTTTTATACTTGAATGTTTTTTTTGGAAAAGCCAGGTTTTGTGCAGGCAAAATATGTTCTGCTGATGTGCTTCCTGAAATGGAGAGATGCCTACTGAAGCCTTGCAAAAAGGCTATCATCTATTATTTCAGCGCAAAATACATTGTAAGTAAAACATGGAAGTTTCTAATGTTCATTATATTACAAATCTGTAGTCTTTACTCTAACCCCAGTGTTTACAAAACAAAAAAACAGAAAAATATTATTATGAAAAAAGCAACAAACAAACATTGGTGTCCCACCTATGATGTAGTAGTAAGGAACCGCGTTAGCTCCAAGGTCTTCATCGATAGCCGGTGGGACAGCACCAATCTCTGTTCCCACTGCCAGGTTCTCTCTTATACTGAACTCCACTGCAACGTCTGTTGCACTGTGCTGTAATACAAGGTGTCAAATATCACTTACATGTACTCGCAACACTCAACACTCAACACCCTAACCTCAGAGACCTAGAGCACTCCAAGGCACCATTACCTAAACAATAAAACTACTCTATCATGAAAGTTCATTTTAAAAACTTTTGACCCAACACAATAAGATTCTCTCACCTAGATGTTTCAGCCAATCACTCTCACTGGTGTTCCTCAGTAGACTGACTGAAGTGAGGCTTGTCACATGGCTGAGTCAGTCTACTGAGGAAGACCAGAGTGACTGGTCGAAAGCCCTGGGTGAGAGAACTTTATTGTGATGGATCAAATCTTTTTACATTTAAACAATAAAAATACTCTATCCATTAATGAAGGTTATAACAGCCAAGTAACGAGATACAGAAGGAATTTGCAACCCAAGCAACTGGATAGATTTTGAAAACTGACAGACATTCCACTACTTTTCTTAAAAGTAGTGGATGCTACTTGGAACCTCTGACAGTTTTCAAAACTAAGCCTATATTTGAACTTACACAATCATAGTAAACCATGTTTTAACAAGTAAATCTTATATAACTGTGAGACAGGGATGATGCTTACCCAGATGTCAGGAAAGTAAGGTTCACTGTCGTCCACATCCGTAACCCTGATGGTGATGAACCGGTAGGATGAGAAGGATGTTGGACTGCCTCTGTCTTCAGCCACTAATAACAGCTGGGATGCAGATAGAAGAACTTTTACTTTTAGAAAATGCAGTGGAAGGCTGTTCAGTACCAATGTGGGAGGGTACAGTATAGTACATAGGGGTGGAAGGCACTTCAGTACCAAGGTGGGGAGGGTACAGTATACTACATAGGGGTGGAAGGCACTTCAGTACCAAGGTGGGTATGGTACAGTATAGTACATAGGGGTGGAAGGCACTTCATTACCAATGTGGGGAGGGTACAGTAAATTATATAGGGGTGGAAGGCACTTCAGTACCAAGGTTGGGAGGGTACAGTATACTACATAGGGGTGGTAGGCATGAATGTCATTTTCTTCCAAAATCACATTTTGTGCAGGGCCATTCAATGTTTTCAACTGTGCAACAGGGCAATAGTAGACTGAAGCAAATCTGAACACCTCATGACACCATTCCAATCAGGCAGGAATTCAATTGAAAGGCTGAATATGACTGTAAAATGGTTTATTATTACATAAACTATATCACAACTGTTACAGTTGCAGCCTGAAGGCAGAATTGATGAAGTGATATTATATAAATTGACTACAAAACATTAAGAAAACATTTTCTATACAAGCTAAAATCAGAAGCAAAAGTTTTACGGTCAACATAATCATTCATACATACACAATATAAAATTGAAATACATGACTTGAATGACTCACATTGTAGTATTCTTGCACTTCTCTATTCAGCAGCCGTGCTGTAGTGAGGTCTCCATTGTCTTCATTAATGCTGAACATAAGAGAGTCGTTGATGTGTCCAACGTTGTCTGTAATCCTGTAGGAGATCCTCCCCCCATCCAAAGGGTCGTTGTCCAGGGCAGACACTTTGAGGATGAAATAGCCAATGTATTGATTCTGGAAAGATACCATAGCAGTCACAAGTCATATGATTGCACTAAGTCTTGCATGTATCAAAATCAGTGCTTCAAAGACTTGCCTCTATACAATACAATGTTCAGACAGACTGCTTTAGTTAAAAAAGTGTCATTGGTAGATGGAAGTGATGATTTTTTTACTAAATATATCCACAAAAGTCTAAGATGTTACAGATAAAATTCAGTTTGTGTCATCTGGGTTCCCAATTTGGCAGATGAGACCCAGTTGTCAAAAGATGTTGATATTGTTAAATTGACTAATACATTGTCAATAAAGTTAGTAACTTGATAGCTAAGTAAGCTGTAGAAAGCTGACTGACCTAAATTCATGTCACCTAGTCAGTAACCAATCAACTCAACTTCTCATTAATCTAGTCACTAACTAACTAACTAACCAACCATCTCACCTCGGGTATGGTAACAGTGGTCCCAACTTCAGGCACGATGAAGGATGGAGCGTGATCGTTCACATCCAGTACAACAACTCTGACTGTGCAGGACCCTCTTAGTGCCCCCGGCCCTCGGTCTGTGGCACTGATGGTCAGGACATACTCTCCTGACAGTTCTATCAGCAGTCCTGCATTTCTGATCTCTCCTGTTGTACCATTGACTTCAAAGAGGCCTAGAGGAAAGAAGGAAGGACTTGTTACGAATTGTGTTTAAACTGGTGCATTGACCTTAAGTGTACATTTGTAAGTAGACTGTATAAAAAAAAGGGGTCATCAATCCTATGGCCTAGTCTTGCACAGCTTATACTTACTGTACAAAACTGGACAGGTGAGGTATCTAGTCTATAGGCTTTTACTGGTTAATGTAAAACAAGCAAAATGGTGAGTTCTCATCACAAAAGCAGCAAACAAAAATATAAACCACTGCAAATATTCTATGATTCCCAGTATTTTGCCATGATTTCTTTATTTTGATGCCCTTTAGCCCAAAAGGCTAATCTTCCAGGGCTCATACATGATGATGTTGGTACTAAGGCAGCTATACAGATATAGACACTGATAAATTTGTACTAACCAGCTCCATTGCCTGCCAGAATGGTGTAGATAATCTCCCCACTTGGCCCCAGGTCAGGGTCGTGAGCCTGGACTGTGATGACATGAGAGTACAGCAGGACGTGCTCCTGTATGTCAGCATGGTACACGGCGTGGGGGAAGGTCGGGGGGACGTCATTCACATCAAGCACTGTCACCTCCACCTGAGGACAAAATATTGACAATGACAATGAACTTTATTGCATATTCACGCCCTACACGGGCCAAATGCAAAGTTAAATAACTTGGGTACAAGAACAGAAGAAGCAATTGTTACATTCGTGTGCTACGTCTCTATCTACAGGATCTAACTACAGGACCTCTTCTCTCTTTTTGAAACATGTATAAACAAATTTACAAATTTACACAGTTTTTCATTTACATCATAGCGCTTGGATGTCTAATATGTTTGAACAATTCTATTTTCGGCAAGTATGTATATTTCTTTTCAATCTTAATATGAAGGATAACATGTACTACAGGTCTGCCTGGATTGCCTAATGTTTTGGTTTTAATGGCTGTGAAAGTTTTGTAAAACCTGATTGTGTTGCTTGATATTAATGTGTTTGATTTGTGGAAGGAAAAACCTGAAATTGACTTCAAATATATATTTGACTACACAGTTGAATATGCATTTACTCCCTGAACTTGTTGTACATGTCATTGGGTACAGGTGTTACAGACAGGAATCCTAATCTCTGACCAAATATATTGCTTGGAAGTCTTCCTCAACTAACATAAGATTGCCATGTCAGTCTGATAAGTTTCATTCTATTGACATATAGTCCCCAGTCAAGTACCTTCTACATACAGTATATTAGGTAGTAGCTATTCTAAGTAATAGTCACCCCTTTTTCGGATACATGTAACATTATTTTCTATCCATATTGATGTTCTTTCCTTCTAAATTTAACATGGTACTGCTTTATTAAGTCCACAAACTAATTGGGTCAATCAATGTCTTTAAGATAGATTCACTCACCACAGTAACAGATGTTCTAGGCATCCCATTGTTGGGCGTGTCTGTTGCCGTCACCTCAAACAAGTACAGGGACTGGTTCTCTCTGTCCACTGTCTGTTCCAGTATGATATCACCCTGTGGGAACAACCAGTTAAATGGGTAACTTTTCAATAGGTAACAAAGCACGTACCTCATATTCTACCAAGAGATATGTGACTGATGAACTTCTTTGGTGGAATTTGTATTCTTTGGCAGAGGCCACACCAATTTATTTCCTTGGTTAACGGATTCGCCGCTTGCTTTTTTTGCCGAATGAAAATAAAAATAAAAAAACGTCATAGTTTAGACCCCACAGGCCGGTAATACCCTGAACAGGGAGACCCCAATGAAATTGCTGCAGTTCATACCAATGTCGCTAGAGGCGCTCCTGCACACGTAGTCACATGACGTAAAGTAGCCAATCGTGGATTGTTTTACTTTCTGACCAATCAGATGCGATGTTCTGGAACCATGTTGGCTCAGTCATTTGTTTTGTTCTCCTGCATGGCGGGAGCCTCATGGCGTACAAAATTTGTGGCGGAAGCTTAAATTGTTTGAGAAAGCTGGAACTTTGGATCAAGGCAGAATCTAGGTACAGTACATGTAAAATTGAATAAATTTTGTCCCCTTTAAAGTTAAAATTGCTTGTGAGAGTTAACATTCGTGTCATGTTTTAGAGTACATATGATGATGGTGGAACTTGGAAGTAACATGCTAAAACTTGTTTTCTGCATTTTGCTCGTGTACGAAAAGATTATCAACCCAATGGTGTGGATAGCAAATAAAACACAATACGGTACATCCTCTCTTGTCTTTTGTTTCTTTCCCAGTATTTTCGTAACTAAAGCAGTCTGGATTTCACACTACATGGCTGTATGGCAGGTAGTATCAAATTTTTATTTTTATTTTTTTTTCGCCCGCCCGCTCCATTTTTTTTCTACAAAAATCCGTTAACCAAGAAAATAAATTGGTGTGGCCAGAATGCTATTTGGAAATTTTGCATTGATTACACAAATAATGTCTAAACTTACATACTATATACCATTCTGTATCTGTATAGCCGGTATAACCGCCCTTCGGCATAACACACCAGCTTCGCAGGCACGCGGTGCGGCGGCAGCTGGCTATATTACATCAAACAACTTGTTACACTCAATCAATCATCAATGCTATTGATGTGCATTTCAAACAAATATAACTCAGCTGGTCTCAATGTGATTAGTCTTTAAAGAACCTTCAACATTTGATTTAATTTCAATTTATTTAATCCCACAAAATCGTACAAAAGCGAGAAATGCTAATGAATCCCTGAATTATGTATTCGATTTTTAGCAGACATGAGTTTTCAAATATCAGCCATTATCACTATCATTGTAGTCTTACTGCACAATGTAAAAGACTTTTTCAAGCGTAGAGTCCTTAGCATCTCTTAACACCCACCGATGTGGAATGAACAGAGAACCTGCCCCCTCCCCCTGTCACGTTGTAGAAGATGTTTCCATTCTCTCCTGAATCTGCATCAGACGCTGACACATTCAGGATGACATCACCAACACTGGTGTCTTCTGGGATAGATACTGCAGCCAACAAGACAAGATAACCAATAATTTAGCCTGCGTACCATCCTGGTTAGTTTACGTCCACTCCCACAGTCGCTAGGTAGGTAGCGATTGGGGAGTGGACGTAAACTAACCAGGATGGTATCCAGGCTACAAATAATTTCCATTGCAACCTGTTCTGTATAATGTTCTTTCATACAAAACAACTCCTAAGATAGTGGGGCCTCAGGAACATTACATCATTATAATTATAGCTCTCTGGCTATGAAACACAAATGGGCAAGTAGTACAGTTTACTAACTCTCGGGATTCAAACCTGCACTGAACATGGGCTGCCATCTTACGAACCCAATGCTAAAGGCTAAAAAAAATTACTCTGGTGATCCCTGTCTCCCACACTGTCAATCTTGAGAGAACTATTCTACCATCAACTGTTGAACTTTGGAACAATCTTCTGAAGGAAACTGCTATGATCAGGGACAGACAGAGATTTAAATGTGAAGTTGATTCTTTCCTCAGCGCTAAACTTTGACAGCGTTTGACAGCAAGATCAAACATAGATAAAAAAGGTTCTGGTTGGACTGGTAAGTTGGCAGTGCTTGAACCCTGTTACAGCTACCGGTATCTCAACTGAGAAACAGTAGATTTAGAGTCCCACCTCTGTAGAAATCCTCCCGGAAGACAGGACTGTTGTCATTGATGTCCACAATCTGGATACTGACAGGAGTTGAGGTTGATAGTGGAGGGTTCCCGTCATCTGTGGCGTTCACAGTTAGGTTCACCCACCTCACCCCCATCTCATAGTCCACTGGTCTGGCCACAGTAACAACACCTGGGGGAGGAACAAAGCAAAATAAGTTTCAAACAAGAAATCACAAAAATTCAGAATTCCAGATATCATAGTTACAGTATGTATTTTAGGTTTTCATGAATGTATTGGAACAACCAAGAAGGTTGCAGGAAGTGCATTAATCAGGACTATATAGGCTACAAACTGTGCAGGGTTGAAGGGTTGGCTCATGCAGTCCTTGGCTGTTGGCTCATGCATGATGCCAGATTTTGTGAAATTCAAGTTTTTAATCAGACAGCGTATTCTAGGATTATACCATTTCAGCTTACCTCAGAATTTTTAAAGACATACATGTAATTTCCTAAGTTTACTTAATATCCCATGGCATATTTTAATGATTCTGCCCACAAAATGATCATCGTTGTTACTTGCTTCTACATGATTGTTTCTTACCTGTTACATTGTCTATGGCAAAGTAGTCTTGACTGTCCCCGATTAACTGGTAAGTGATGACAGCCCAGGGCGAGTCAGGGTCTTCTGCACTGACAGTGAGAACAGAGATGCCCCGGCCTGTCTCCTCCAGCATGGACAGTTGGTAGTAGGGGGTGAGGGCGGTATGGGGGGGTCTGAACACTGGGGGGTTGTCATTCCGGTCCTCAATGAAAATGGCAACCAGAGCTGTAGTTGAAAGATATAGGTGAGCACTTAGCAAGGCATCAGTAAATAGTGCACAGTGTACAGTGAACTATGTAAAATTGAAACTTCATTGTACAGTAAACCAGTCATATTAACCCTGATGAAGAAGACAGAATGATCAGAAATGCCAACTCGTGTTAAACATGTGAATGAAAGAACTTTACTATACACTTACCAAGGCTGCAGAAATCACTATACTTTCAGCATTCTCATTGTTTATTATGGATAATTAAGATAGTGAGGGAAGATTTGGTGTCAGCTACTCTGATCTGTTACATTTTACAATGTTCTACTTCTATTTTTTTAAGCAAGACCAAGAAGCAAATGTCAAGATATTGGTACATAATCTTTATGGATTTTAAAGACATAACTGTTTACCTGTTGCAGTTTGTCCAGTGGTTTCAGCCTCAGTGTCCACGGCTAGAACAGTGAGCTCAAACATGGCTGCCGTTTCCCTGTCCAGGGCCCTCCCCACTGTCACCACACCAGTGGTAGAGTCCACTTCAAACCAATCCTAACAACAGCAGAACATTCAGCACCACTTAGAGAACCGATTGACATTCACATTTTTTTTTTCATGACAAAACTCGTGGAGATACCATCCAGGTATGTACATGTCTTGATCTTGATACTGTACTGTGTAACACGCAGGGGAATATGTTGTATGTTGTAACATATTCCAGCTAATGAGAATGAACAGAAATTATGATGGCCTGCTATTTTCAGACATTAAAAATTTGAGCTCCAAACTTTTACCAGTTACTGTTATCAGATAGATTTGCTGACTTTCTTATTTCTGCACCTGCCACCACTGCAAACATATAGTTCTGTGAACACCTCAATTTTTCTCAAACCCCAAACTTTTGCTTAAGTGAATTACAGTACATGGCAAGTACATGTAGCTACAACCTACCTCAAATGTCTCGTTTGTATCACTGAAGACTGAGTTGTTAAGAATTGCTCCATTCCAGGCCCTAACAAAGTACGGCCTGATAGGAAGGTACTGGATGTCAGACGTGTTGTCTGCGTCGCTGGCGTTTAACTGTGCCACCTGCCAACCCACCAGGGTATCTTCTGGTACGGCAGCACTGGGGGAAGAATAAGCAAGAAAATTAGAAAGGTAATATTTGCAAAGCAAATGCCTAATGTTTACCTTTGCACATGGTCTGCTCTGTTAATTCTTACTCAAACACATTCATCTACATGTATGGTCATACAGGAGTCTAAATCTCTCCTTCTATAAAATTGCAACATGATGTAACCCAACACAAGTTACCATAGTGACAGAAATCTGGTTCAGGTCATTGGCCTTATTTGTTTGGGGAAGAAGAAGATGAAGAATAAACAGAGCAAAAACAATATCCTATCAAGGTAAACATAACAAATTCTAAAACAGAACCATCATCATGGTATCAAAATCGTATGTCACCTATGTCAAGAGTCACCGTGCCGTAACTCCCATACAGTACCCATTTTTAATTGGGGTATAACAAAATCAAAAAGGAAGGAAAACTAGACAAGATAGACAAGAGGTTTCCTAACTATTTTCTTTCTTTTTTTTTAACTTTTCAATTTTACTGATTCAGAGACATAGACAGAGGAAAGGGGACAGAAAAAGGATGTGTCAAGCTACCCACGACAGGTTACAGTCCAAGTGCTCCCACCAACTTGACACATCAAAATAAAATAATGACATAAAAGACAGACATTTCCCATACAGTACCTGATGAAAGGTTGAAGGAACTTTGGCGCTTTGTTGTTCCCCTCCAATATCCTGATGACGAGGTTAGCTGTACCAGACCTGGCCGGTGCTCCGAAGTCTGTGGCGATCACGAGCAGCCGGTACTCATCCACCAAGTCCTGGTCAAACTGGCTGCCTGTTAGAGACAGTACTCAACATCAGCTTGATCCAACTTACATTGTAGGTAAGAATAGAATTTGCCCCAAAACCTCCATAACACATGGACATACAACGTAGCCAACTCTGGTCAATAACATTGCATGTACACATGTAGCATCACATGTTTGTATTAGGTAATAGTTATGAATTATGGTAAGTAGTAGTACATGTAGTTCTGTCTCGAAAGATGATGGTAGCACTCTAGGTCTGGTGTTGTGGCCGTGTGCAGCATCTAGTGTGGCTATTTTTGTCTGCATGGCAGTCCTGGTGTCAGTTGGGATTCAAGAAGGTTGCAATATTTTGTGGCGGCATCTTATACCTCGTATAAGGATGAACTGAACTAAATATGCCTATGCACAAGATGCATCACACAGCATTTTACAAACACATCTAGGTATACATCATTACTATCACCAGTAAGCAGTTTCAATAGCCTACATGTACCTGCAGCCACAGTGACCAGTCCTGTCCTGGGTTCAATGTTGAACAGCTGGCTGTGTTCACCGACCAGGGAGTAAACCAGCGCCTGGTTGGGCCCAGAGTCAGCATCCGTGGCACGTACCTGGACTATGGTGGCACCTGGAGGGGTTCAAACATCAAAACATGTAATTCTGTAGCACAACTAGGCTGCAACATAGCCTAATTGACATTGCTGTAGAACAGATAGCTACATTAAAGTTTATTCTTTTACGGCTCTCGGTGGCAAATGTGCAGATGATGGTGCACCAAATCTGTAGTGTGTTTTTGGCACACATTTTGACAGATTAGCCTAAGAGGCTAAAGGGCATAAATTCCATCAGACAAGTTAATGCAAAGACAATTGGAGATGAATGTGAACAAAGGACTCCAATTTCTCACCTGTCTCAACCACTTCTACAATCTCCACCCTGTATTCATCTTCCTCAAATATGGGTTCGTTGTCATTCGCATCCTGCATCAGAAATAACAACCGTGAGTATTGGTAAGAAATCTGACACCTTGCACCATTAGCTATATTTTGAATGGCTGTAGACCATTGAAAATTAAGCAGACTTTTGATCTCAGGAAGAAATTGTTTGAAGCTGTCTACACTAATGGCCTTTTACCTTATAAGTTATTTGCAAAGATAAACAATGTAATTTGAAAACTGTTACCAACAGTAGTAATGTAATACAGTCTTGTAGCTTGAAGCAAGTAATTTATAGGTACTTTAGAATTTCAAATCTTTTCAACTGTGTATAGCATTACTGTATACAATTGTATCAGGAAATTGAGCAACAATATTCCAGGTGTCCCAAAAACATACCATGATGAACACAGTGACATTAGCCAAGGTACTGAGCGGTGGTGTCCCACTATCCTTTGCAACCACCTCCAGTCGTATCTCTGGCTTCCCATTGGTCCTCACAACATCTTCAAAATCTATGGCTTCCGTGATTGACAGGAGTCCTGTAGTCTCCCCGATGTTGAAGTGGTTGGCAAAGTTGGTGGCGTTGGACAGAGTGTAACTCTCTATTCTGTTGTTAATTTCTGATCCATCGTAGTCTGTGGCCTGGACAAACAGCAAGAGTGTTTAAGTTGTTGTATACTGTTACATAATATATTTGGGAATAATATAAAATATATGAATTAAGAAAAGGAACAACAACTCTAATTCATTAGTGCTTACAACCTTATCCTGCAGCCTGGTACCCCAAGAGCACTCACATCTGCAGTATACAGGTCTAGATGCTGAGCATCAATGTTGTACATGTCAGATATAAAATTAATGTGTTCATTAGACATTCTGAGAAGGCCTAAGTAACACAATTTAGTAATAACTATATAATTCAAATCTTATGGTACCTTAAAGGATTATAAGTGTTGATGTTACTTTTACAGAATGATGTGAATTTTGAGTCATGTACTGTGACATGTACAGGAATCTGAGAAACTTCACTCAAATCACTTATCTCAAATAAAAGACAGTACACTAAAAAGAAAATCCAAATGCCTCTGGGCATTCAACAAACTTGAAAAAGAGGTTTGTCGTACTCACATGCACAAACATCCACTCAGGCATGTGCAGGCTGTTCTCCTCTATGTAGACCTGATATTCTTGGATCAGAAAAACTGGCTGGACATCGTTGTAGTCCAGAACTGTGATCTCTACAGGGACAGTGGTGAGCAGACCTGGACCATCCTCAGCCTGGGCGATCAGGTAATATTTGGGATTGTCCTCATAATCCAGCGACCCTGCTAGTGTGATGATCCCAGAGACTGGGTCGATGGCAAATCTGGAAAATGGAAGGAAGATAATCATGGTCTACTTTTAAATCTACAGCCCTTTGGTAACTGATACTACTGATACTGATACTGTTTATTCACATTGATTGGCAGCCATATGCATTGTTGGCTGAATTGCACAAGTGATTACATATTAAAAAACTTGAAAGAGATACACATTAAAAAGTACGACATTGACGATTAAAATCAAGTAGATTAAAAATTTTATTGTGGTAAAAAAATGGTAATTGACAGGTCCTTATAATAGCACTGCTCACCTCTGCCATAGTTTCAGCTATAAGATCTGATATCAATATTCAATATCAAATTTAACATTATATCAAACAGTATGATGCTATACAACGATTGTAAAATTGTACTTCAATGACATCTATGCTTTAAACAACATAAAGGTTCACTGTTCCAACCTTTCTGATCCAGCTCCATGTAGAGAATACCGGATTGTCCTGTAGTCAGGCACTGTGTCATAGTCCATTGCCTGGAAATATGTATTACAATGATTGTACATTAGACCATAGAGTTTAGCTCTCAATACAGATCTTAACTTTTCTGTGCGCCAGGGCTGATAAGCCAACCTAGACACTATATACAGCAACAATGCCAGACCTACATGTAGGGGACTATCATTATCTTTTGAGATGGAAGGATGCCTACTACTGCATGCATCATATGAAAGCGACAGCTGTAGATCAACCAGAATTTCTGTCAGCGGTAAAATAAGTATCATATTTTACATGCACATGATTGTGAATTTACCATTCTTCATCCACCATGATCGCAAATAAAATGTATTTATCATATATTTGTCACCTATTATCAGATTCTGTAAGCTTATACTGACCAGCACAGCAGTAACATAGGTGTCAGGAACAGCTGCCTCGCTGACCTCCCCTGTGTACAGCTCGTGGTTGAAGATCGGTGCGTTGTCATTCTGGTCCTCCAGCAGAATGTTCACAAACGCCGTGTCTGAGAACTGTTCATTGGTGGCTGTTTCCACTGCCACAATCTGGAATGGTTTTTGACTCCTTAATTAGTTTGGCTAAGTACTACTCTAGGGCATATTCGCTTATCAATGAGATTTGCTCTAGATCTTTGCACAGCCAATTACACTAATACTTGGCTACAGTACAATACTTGGTACAATACTTGGCTTCTCTGCCATGACCACTGGAAGATTTACTCAACTTTCCATTGGCTAAAATGATTTGAGATTTTCTCAAACATTGATGAAGTTTAGACATCCAGGTAAACAATACTCAATACTCATAGGCATTATAAACTCTACTGGACTCCACTACAATTTGTCTTTACATCAGGGCCCATCACCCTTCATTCAACCGCGACAGGGGCTGACATCATTTACCAGATATATGTACCTTTGGCCCACACTTTACCTCCTATCAGGCGGCCTGTTGTACTAGGTAGGGGGAAACCATTAGACCCCTGAAGACAGCCTGCCCCAACTTCATGTACTATACCCCAACCACAATTAGATTAGATACCATGATGTTACTGCCTTACCCTGAGTGTGAAGTTATCCATGGTCTCGTAGTCCAGTAGTGAGGAGTTGGTGATGTAGACCTGGATGTCTGCTGACCCCTCAAGCTCAGTGGGTGTGATGCTAAACGCTCCCCAGTCATCATCCAAGTAGACCTGAAGTTTACTGTTATCACCCTTATGGACAACAGAGAAAAGCTGCATTATGTAACATAACACGGTGATGGAACATTTTCTAGTCATTTCAGAATTACAAAATAAGTTGAATCAACCCTGCTCCATTGCAAATAAGTGCCATTTAGGAAGAGTAGGTGACAAAATCTGATGCCTTAAAAGCTGGTAACACAGCTGCCAGTCATGTTTGTTTACTGGTAATTTGTGGTGGCACCACAATTTTGGTGCAAAAATGTTACATAATGCCCCTTTAAAGCCCTAGGCACATCATATATCACGATACGCCTAAGATATTTTCTCCACAATTAGCACGCAGTACATCATAGGTTTGAGAAGTAACTTGTGCTGTAGCAATAGTTTGTTAGAAATGTTTCGTCTCAAATCTACATGATAGGCATTGCAGAATCATTGCAGAAAACCATCCATGAATCAGAACTCCTAGACTAGTTTAAAGGACATTCGAATTCATCATTGACAATTTGTATATTTTCAGAACCGATGACAATATCTAGTAGTAATTAGCAGTGAAAGTAAGTGAAAGTTTACCTCATCCAGGTCTGCCACAAAGATGTTGAGATTGGGGAGAGGGACGCCCTCTGGGTAGTTTTCAGGGAAGCTCCCTACGTAGGAGTGGCGGTCAAAAGTGGGCTCCTCGTCATTGACGTCTTCAATAGTAATGGTAACAATGGTGGACGTGGCCTGGCCTGCCACGCCATTCTTGTCCTCGGTAGCCTGAAATACATAGTACAAGGAAGGATTAAACTAAACTTTTGTAAAGCGTAAAATTCAGATGGCATCCGCCATCTTTCTTCAGCTACTGACGAGGGCAGTCACATGACCCAAGGGTTAAAAGGTGAGCACAGGTCACGGGAGCCTAAAATACATTCATTGACAAGTATAAGGCGTTATACATGCAGTGATCAATAAATATTATAGCAACAGAAAAATCAATATCAATATACAGTCTGGTAGGTTAATGGCAAGACTTTAGAATTCAGTGTGAGAAGGAAGCAGGCTAAAGAGTTTGTTTGTCTATTACTTTTTGCATGCTGAATTTTGAGGCTTTAATATACTGCATGCATAGGGTATTTTTGATTAAGTGCCATAAGCTATATATATGAAATTGTAGGTTTAAAACAGGCTCACAGTAATGGTCAGCTGCCATATGCCAAACTTATCCAGGAAGGCATCCCTGTCCAGTGGACGGGCAACAGTGATCTCTCCTGTTGTAGCACTGATCAGGAAAAAATTCCCATCATCTGTGGGAAAACAATAGTCAGCAGTGTCACTGAAGGATGTATAATATCGTTAACCAATAAAAGTTATATTCATATTTTATTTACCTCCGTTAAAAAAGGTGGTATTGTTTTGGGTGACAGCACAAGGATGGAGGAAATTACTTAACCACAAAAGGTCTGAGACACAGGAAGTTAGGTCCAAGAAGCTGACTCGGAGCCAGGAGTAAGTATTGGCCCAGATGGCAGTGGGAAAATCCATAGTGAGGTAGGCAGAGACATTCACACCAACAGATAATTCATTTATTTCACAAAACCTCCAAACTTTTGATGGAGGAATGAAGTCTCTTGTTGGTACTTACTTCCACCACTTATTGAGTAGCCAATGGGATTGCCGACTCCCCTGTCTCCGTCAACAGCAGCTGTTGTCACGACTGAAAAACCCTGAAAACAACATACAGAAGCAGTTTACACTTCTAACATTAGCCATTCATGTACACGCACCTACAAACATACATACATAACAGACCTGTCCTTGGTGCTGAACACTATCCATCCATGCATACAACCATTCAGAACTGTCCTTGGTGCTGAACACTATCCATACATCTATATATACACACACCTACAAACATGCATACATAACAGACCTGTCCTTGGTGCTGAACTCTAGCTATCCATACATACACACAGACCTGTCCTTGGTGCTGAACACTATCCATCCATCCATACATACATACATACAGAACAGACCTGTCCTTGGTGCTGGACACTATCCATACATACATACTTACAGAACAGACCTGTCCTTGGTGCTGAACACTATCCATACATACAGACCTACAAACATACATACATCTGCACATACAGAACAGACCTGTACTTGGTGCTGAAAACTATCAATTTATACAAAAATGTACCTACTTTACCATACATACAATATACATGCATACATACAGAACAGATCTGTCCTTGGTGCTGAACACTATCCATACATCCATATATACACACCTACATACATACATACAGAACAGATCTGTCCTTGGTGCTGAACACTATCCATACATCCATATATATACACACCTACATACATACATACAGAAAAGATCTGTCCTTGGTGCTGAATACTATCCATGCATCAATCCATGCATACAACTTTTCAGATCTGTCCTTGGTGCTGAACACTATCCATACATCCATATATATACACACCTACATACATACATACAGAAAAGATCTGTCCTTGGTGCTGAATACTATCCATGCACCCATCCATGCCTACAACCATTCAGATCTGTCCTTGGTGCTGAACACTATCCATACATCCATATATACACACCTACATACATACATACAGAACAGATCTGTCCTTGGTGCTGAATACTATCCATGCATCCATCCATGCCTACAACCATTCAGATCTGTCCTTGGTGCTGAACACTGTCCAAACAAAATACATACCTGCAAACATACAGAAAGCTTCTTACCACAGGCACATTTTCTTGAAGGGTGACTTCGTATGTCCCAACCTCAAACACAGGCGGTTCATCCTCTGTGTCTCTGACATGTACCAACAGGATGGTTGAGCTGGTCCGCCCTCCCCCATCCTGTAGCATTCAGTGGGAAAACACCAATGTCATTGTTGTTTCATTTGTTTAGAAACAATCCTTGCAGCTTCTACAAATGTAGGCCCTCTAGGAGCTGGCCTCTTGCTCCCAACTCTTCCTCCATATTGCATGATCCAAGGCCTGAGACTTCTGCCACCCTTATACTACTTACATTTGAGTTATTCTCTGATATTCTCATCTAAAACTGCACCAGGTCCTGATACATAATTATTTACTTACAATAGGCTTTGGGTCATTTCAACTTGAGAAGAACTGGCCCAATTCTTGTTGATAGGCACTTTGATTTAACTTGCATACAGTGTTGTTTGAAGTATTCAGAAAGTCTGTATTATTAAGTTCTTTTATCATCTTTACTGTGAGACCTCATGTTGGAGTGACCATACACAGATCAATCCAACAATATCAGCAATATTAGCCAATAATTAATAATTATTATCTGATTCAGTTTATCAATTCAAACTTACAGTACAGTTGATGAGCATCCAATAGGCAGGCAGGAACTCGTAGTCTAGTGGTTTACTGAGCAGGATCAGTCCTGAGATTGGGTCAATATTAAACCAATCACATCCCTGAAAAACACAGGCAATAACAATGGTCAAATGTAAGCCTTATTTTTCATTATAGATAGAAATGTAAGATTGAAATGTGAGATTCTGTAACTACTCTATATTTTATTGTTTTGAGATAACCAAGTCAGAATTGTTTCCTGTATCATACATTCAAAGTCACTTGTGAATTTAATGTTAATGATTTTTATATATTCTTTTTTCCAGATATTTAGGAAGTTAAGACAGTACCCATGAACTTCTGCATTTGGATGTAAAAGCCGTGTTGTTTCTAACTGTTAAATATCTACTGAGTAAGTAAATGCTCACCCCTCCACAAGAAAATTGATACGCCCCACCAGGCCCTGAATCCGGATCTTCCACCTCAATCCCAAGGAAGACAGGAAAGCCAACCCTGTAATCCTACAGCAAATAAAAACATGAGATTGTAACTAATATGCATATCATTTAAAATTTTTATTGATTGAAAGTTGCTTTCCCATTCAGTACATCTATTCAGCAAATTAAACATATCCACATATTTTGTTCTTGATATAAGAATATGATAAAGAATTTAATCTGTATCTGTATCTGTACAGCTAGTATAATTGCCTTTTGGCTTCGCAGGAATGCAGCTGGCTACATTGCACTGAACGATTTGTTACAACTAATCCTTGAACATCTAACTCTAATCATGCTTACTGAATGTCAACAATCAAAATAAAACAAGTGTAGTTCATTTGCTCTAAAGAAAAGTACATTTCGTACCTCATCCAGTGTGACAATATAGGGAGTAGACAGGAACTTTGGGTCGTTATCATTGACATCCGATACCCTGATGGTTGCTGTGTAGGAGACCTGAAAATTATCGGAAGTACCATGAGGATGATATGTGATTATTATTAATACCATTGACATTAAAGATCATGATTTTATATTCCAGTTTGTCTTTAAAGTCTTTGAAATTGTAGAACACAGATTAAAAGATGAACTTACAAAGTTGAGATCAGGAGAGTTGTCAGTCGCAGTAACTCTGACTTCAAAGCTGTCCTCTTTCTGTATGGGAGTAAGAATTTGTAGTGTTTGGGAGTAACATTATGATTGCTTCTACATACATTGTTTTGATATTCAAACCTGGCTAACCCACACCTTAAAAGTCAAGAAATAAGAGATTGTAGACCACAGGGAAGTGGTTTGGGTTAACTTTTCAGGCACGTATTGGAACTGTTGAGGGGATTGTATATTATTACATACAGTCAACCACTTCCTGAATTCATCCACTTACTGCCCAATTACTCCCACCAAGCATATGCTGGGTCCTTGTCAATCAAGTAACTAAATATCCACCCCCTCTCCCTTTAACCATCTCTGCTGGACAAGCATATACACAAACCAACAATCAAACCCAACCAAAAATTATAATACTGAGTTTGTAGTTGCTACTCAGAGGAGATAAGCATAGATTACACAGACTGTAAATGGATTAAGAGAGGGTTAAATGATCCTTACCTCCCTGTCTAACTCTTTGATCAGGATGACCCTTCCTGTGACCTGATCCACACCCAGAAACTCTGACTCGATACTGAAGTAAACATTGTCCTGATCTGGGTCTGTGGCCTCCAAGGTGAAGACTGTTGTTCCTAGGAGTACAATCGGAGAGAGGAATATAATGTTTTACATTCAGCAACTTAAACATATATTTTATTAGAGTGTGTTATAGAATACTTGTAACTACAGCATCAAAGTAGATGACATGGTTACAACTGCAATAATGAACCGTAGCAGTATTATGATGATACCAACAAGAATTATTAAAGTAAAAATTATTATAAAATATGTGTAAGTATTTAAGTCTGAAAAGATACAGCTAACCTCAGAAAGCATCACTGATTATGTCTAAAGAATTATATTGATTGTGCATTTTTGTACTAGGGGGAAACATTATCAACTCATTAACAATTTGCTTGATGACAAGCTAAGTGCCAACTAAGGAAATATATTATGTACATGTAATTAAAATTAATACTCAACCAATGGATGTGTCCTCTGCCAGTGCAAGCCCATCAAACTCATCAAAGTTGGTAAATTGTGGAGAGGCCGTTCCTCTTACTGAAAAAAATGACAAAGCAATGAATTGGATTCTGTACTAGCAGCAACCATAAATATCAAAATACATACAGAATAGACCTGTCCTTGGTGCTAAATGCCATCCATCCATCCATCCATCCATCCATCCATACATACATACATACATACATACATACATACATACATACTACATAGCGGTACATTTGTACATACATAACGGATCTGTCCTTGGTGCTGAACGCTATTCTATACCTTCAAACATAAAGAACAAGCCTGTCCTTCATTGAACACTATCCATCCGCCCATCCATCCATCCATCCATCCATCCATCCATCCATCCATCCATCCATCCATCCATCCATCCATCCATCCATCCATCCATCCATCCATCCATCCATCCATCCATCCATCCATCCTTCCATCCATCCATTAACCCATGTTACACATATAACAGATCTGTCCTTGGTGCTGAACACTATCAATCAATACATACATTGTACATACATACATACACATACATACATACATACATACATACATACAGACAGACATACATAAAAGACCTGTCCTTGGTGCTGAACACTATCCATCCATCCATCCATCCCTCCATCCATATATACATACATACATACATTTGTACATAACAGATCTGTCCTTGCTGAACACTATCCATGCATACAAAATGTACATACATACAGACCTAGAAACATACAGGCCTGTCCTTGGTGTTGAACACTATTATCCATCCATCCATCAATCCATCCATCCATCCATACACACAGACATACACACACACACACACACACACACACACACACACACACACACACACACACAGATCTGTCCTTGGTGCTGAACAATAGCCATCCATCCATCCATCCATACATACATACATAGTATTACATACATACATACATACATACATTCATACATACAGACATAATGTTACATACAGAACAGACCTGTTCTTTTGTTTAATGTAATGTTCATTGTTTTTTCTTTCCATGCAATGAATTTGAAAAAATAATCTACTAGTATTAGCCCAAGACATAGTCTTCATGCATGGCCTTAGGCCACACCAATTTCATTTCTTGGTTAACGGATTTTTCTAGAAAAATAATGGAGCGGGCGGGCAAAAATAAAATAAAAATAAAAACAGGCCTAGGCATCCTATTATGGCCCACAATGGTACGATAGGAGCCATGAAGTCAACACACCAGGCTGGTTCAAAATTTAAACAATGAATTTTTAACTTTTAATGATACCACTGCATTGAAAGATGGAATAACTGTAACAACTAGGAAGAAAAGGACTGTTTTCAACTGTTCAGGGCAAAATATGAGCATTTTGCAGTTGATTCTGAATTTTTATTTTTATTTGCAAATCAGAAAAAAATGAAGCGTGTGAGTCCGTTAACCAAGAAATTAAATTGGTGTGGCCTTAGCTATGTGAACTGTTGCCATTTGCAAAGAATGAATCACACCACAGCCCTGACAGCACGGACATGAATGTTTTATGACCACATTTTTGTACCAGGTACAGCTAACGCAACCTATGATGACTAACAATTTACTAAATCATAATTATAATGATTAAAAGGAAATTTTAAAATAAGACTTAACATCAATTATACTTGCATTCTTACCTGGAATAAACTGAGCCAGTTGCACTGCCAGAGTTAGGATGACTTTCAAAAACATCTTCATCAACTCAGGCCACCATTTCTTGTACACGCAGTATCTGAGTCAGGTGAAGGGAGATGTTGTAAAATGCTAGAAAAATCTGGGAAACATAAACTCTCTATTGTGATGCATTAGACATATATTAGATAATGTAACGTTACCTAAAGTAGTTACTGTAACAGAAAATGCAGAATTATATAATAAAGGTTTCTGGTTATTTTAGTGTACACAAATTTATCTGGAGCCTACTACCACCTAAATTTTTGTAACATTGCCTCAAACACAAAATATCCTCAATAACAGTTATATCGTTTTCAATCACTGGTATCCTCCTACGTGGTAGTGTTATGGTATGTGTGAAGAATAATTACTTACCTCCCTTGCTTTTCCACAGATGGAATCCAGCCCTTTCTTTAAGCAGTTACATGAAGGGACTTCAGAGACACATAACGAGTAACCGTCGCTAAACTTCAGACAAACATTTCTGGCAGTCGCAGTGAGAATTAAAGGTTGACTTCAGCATGCTTCGTTGCACCACACTAAGCTTGATCAGGATTACATCTTTCTCTTGCAATCCAACAGTATTTGAAGGTCAGAATCCTTTTCAGTTATAAAGACGAACAGATTTAACATGCAAACCCTTTCATGTCTATGAATGGGAAGTATTTATTATTCAAAAGCCCCTTTGTGTCTGTGTGCTCCCAAGAGAGCTGTCACAGCATATATACCTTAATGTGGAGTTATTTCTCAAACACAATGATATCATCAGGAAATCGCATGCTGAAAATTTAGTGCTTTTTACAGATAACCAGTGATTTAGTAGTCTGTTATTGTTGCTTGCCCTAAAGTCACAGAGTGTGACAAATTGAATGTTTTAATGACTTGTAGCAGAATTTTTAGTCAGCTTGGCTGGTCTGATTCACCACCCAAATGCCCAGCCCACCTATTGTTTGCACATAGCATTACATGTACTAAGAATTCTATAGATGAGGTTTGTTCCTAAGGGTATTCAATGCTTTTCAAAAATCTGTTGACTGACTAATATAATAAATTTGTTTGGCTAAATCACACACATATCAGTCCTTAAATTCTTTGTAAGAGGTTTATTTGCAAACAATCAAGCATCCATGGAAAGTACACTCATCTGGCTATTTTGATAAATGACTGTCACAACAGTTTAAAAATGTTAATTATACTGCAGTTACCACATGTTGTAATGATTATAAACTGGATATATGCAAAGTGTGTGAGTTATTCAAGCATGGAATAAAATTCGTAGCTGTGTGTCTGATTCCCAAATTTGTAGCGATCCTTCCTCAACTAACCAATACGTGTACATTTTTACAAATTTTCAGAATAAATACAATTCATAACTAGGAAGCATGCGTCAAATATTACAGAATTTATATGGAATTTACAGGTCTGGAATACATAAATATTAACTAGGAAACATAGTTACTGTATTACATGACACATTCCTTTTTGCATTCCTCTAGTGCACCTTACTTTAAGTAACTGCATGAAACTGAGATACCTTGCAGTATTTATCTATAAAAATCCCCATAGGGCAAAAACTGTACAAGTCATGTGTTCTTCTACCATTACGGGGTAACATTTCTGGCAGCCTTGCCAGCTACAGTACGGGAAACACGTGAACGGGGCAGGATGGAGTCACAGATGTTGAGACTTTCATCAAGTTGCTCCCGGATGGTGCGTAGGTTTGCCTGTAGCTCTTCTTTCTTCAACACACCTTTGGAACAGATAGGGAAAGTTATATCCCATGTAGATAGTGTATCTATTTCCACTGTATGTAGTACAGTACATATTTAGTTGATTGACAATGTGGTAATGTGCATTTTACATAACAATCTACTCACTCACTCACTCACTCACTCACTCACTCACTCACTCACACACTCACTCACTCACTAACACTCACTCGCTCACTCACTCACTCACTCACTCACACTCTCACTCTCACTCACTCACACACACACTCACTCACTCACTCACTCACACTCACTCACTCACTCACACTCACTCGCTCACTCACACTCTCACTCTCACTCACTCACTCACTCACTCACTCACACTCTCACTCACTCACTCACTCACTCAATCACACTCACTCACTCACTCACTCACTCACTCACAAAAAGAGTAGGGGTCCTTCCCCGTGTGACTGTTTCAAACCTTACCGTCTAGTCTTATGCAGCTTGTACTTACATGTACATGTACAAACCGGGTGTGTTATGACTAAAGTTTACTGGTTATGCAAAACAAACAAATCTTACCTTGTTTATCCTCCTTTTTCTGTACACTGTGTGCGCCCAGTATGGCCTGGAAGCTGCTCCACATGTGCTCAGCAAGTTCCTGGTCATGTGTCGTGTCCACGTCAGCAGAGATGGCCTCGCAAATGATGGTCATGAGGACGTTGACCAGCAGCGTGAAGATGAAGATCATGAAGGCGGAGAAGTAGATCGGTCCAAGGAGAGGGTTGGAGTCTACCAGGTCTTGGGCAAGAAACCTGTCAGTGAACACAATGGTTGTTAGTGTTCATAGTCCAGTGGTTAGCGAACCTGCCTCTGGACTAAGAGGTTGAGAGTTAGAATCATGGCTGTTGCAACACTCACCCAAACATGCATGCTACCAGAAAGGGTTGCAGTCGTTAAGCTGTGGTCCACTGTTCATTGTGCTTGATGGAAAGATACTGTAGGGAAATTTCCCTGGTACAATGAACCTGTAAGTACTGTACATAGCGCCTGTCTTTTCTGTCATGACCAGTGAGCTAAAACTGGATCGAGATCACTTCAAGGGAATTAAAGATGGCAGACTTCAACCTCTTGCTACTTCTGGGACAGAAGTACGGTAACGTTAACTGTTTTTTGCGGCACTGGTTTAGAGGGAGTTTTTGTACAGTTTTCCAATCCTAGTAGTGAGGATTGGAAGTGTCTGAGCGTGAATACACACAGCAGGCAGACAACAAACTAAAAAACAATGCTTCACCATCCTTGAGTGAGATGTTAAATGATGATTTTCCTGCCTAATTGAATGAATAACTTTAAAAATGGTTAATCCTTTGTTCAGATATTCATCACGATAATGCTTAGTCTGAAACAGAACTTACACGCCGAGCACCATCTCGAAGAGAGCAAGCGTTGTGCGGTACATGTCTGAGTAGGACTGCGTGTTGCTGCCAAAGATAAGATGCCCTGTAAATACATATTTAATGAGTATCTGTCTTCAGATGAGGTTCAAATGCTTACATGGTGTAAGGAGAGGTATGGGCTATGCCTCCCAATACTGTGCCCAATGCACCATTGTCCTATCACATTATTACGTCACAGTTTGTTTACCTGTTCTAAAGAACATTCTAGAATGGTCAGTTAAAGAATGAAGATCATTTCAAAGTTTTTAAAGTCAGGTATGTTTGATTTTTGCTGCGTCTAGTTTTGTTGACACAGCATGACATGCCGTAATTGGTGATTTAGTTGTGACATTATACGAAAGTAGTAACGTTACTGTATTAAAAGCCTTATATTCAAAGGGCTAACGCTACACACCACGCTACGCACCCCTGTACAATATAAACTTTGATTGACCGGCATTCATTGTGGTAAACAAACTGTGACGTAATAATCTGATAGGTCCATTTCCCTGTACATTACTATATGCACGCTAAGGGACGTTTCCTTCAAATTTGACGTAACGCTCTGCAAAACACATACCTGAGCTCAGAAAGGCCACGAAAGCAACGGCAGCAACAACTAAGAACGACACGAGCTCCTCCTTCATGATGCCGGGAAGAGCCAGGAGTTTTCCGATCGTCTGAGTGAAGCGGACCGCGCGAAGCAAGGCGATGGTGTTGATGAAGACAACAAGACCCAAGATGTGCTTAAAACATGCGTCCCACCAAGCAGTGGGTGTCACATCCACAAAGTGCTCAAATCCTAGCTCACCTGTAAGATGGAGGGATAAAAAAAAATTTAAGAAATTATTTTGGGATGACAGATGTTTATGTCGATTAAATCAATCAATCAATCAATCAATCAATCAATCAATCAAACAAACAAACAAACACATATTAATGCTGGTATTTGTTGATGTCTATAAGTCATGACATACTACAAATCTTAAGTGTTCAAAACCGTCCCTTTTGTCATAGCTATATAGGAACAAAAGATAAGAACTGTTGTGTCATATTTTCAGAACAGATGGTTTATTGTGGCACAGTTTAGTCTGACCAAATTGTGCTGAAGCTTCTTGCAGTCCTGACCCTCTAGCAAGGTTCCCAAAGAAGGGAGGACTCCACCAGGTAATACTAATAAAAGATCACTGCAGTGTGGTGTTAGACTTACCGTTACTTCTTGCGACCATGTCGAGTGTTTCAGCAGCCACGGTGTATCGCACAACGAAGACAGCAATGATTGTTGCTGTGCCCACATGGCTAAAACAGCTCAGGGCATTCCACGGAGAAGTGAAATACTTCCACCCTGTGTTCCTCATAACCTTCGCTTCCTTCACAAGCATGCCTAAGAACAGCAGTGTGAATACTACGTGTATGAATAGAAACACATAGTCAGCATCGCTCTCGTATTGGAACATTTTGAACGAAGTGACGGTCGCCGTTGGCATGAGATTCCCTATCGCGAAACGCTTCAGCAATATGTTTACGCCACTAAACAGCTTCAGGCTGGGGTTGTAGAAGTTGATGTTGATTGCCAGCGACTCTGTGTGTTTGTCGACAAACCCGGAACCTTCCATGGCACGGACGAACGAGACGGCGATTTCATAATTTCGAAGGACCTCGAGGACAAGGTTGTTGCTACAGTCAGATGTGAAGTTTGGGTGGTTCAAAATGTTGGGTGCTGCAAACCTCCAGCAGCTATCTGACGTGTTTCTGATGAGGAAATCCCAGCCAAGACCAGCCCCAGTCTTCCATGCCATTATATCTATATTGAAAACAATAGATTCGGTTTCAGTTTATTTATTTCAACAGCAGTAACACTCAGGTACTATTAATAATGCTAGGTATACAATGGATGATTAAGAAACTATACAATGTCACCTCTCATTTGAGTATGTCATCACATTTCCTGAATTGTGTGATTATTGCCAAGATTCCCACTTAAGGAAAGGGCAATGCATCCAATATCCAGGTCTCCTTCAGGAGTTTTCTTTTAAAAGGGCATGAGAATGAGAGCTGACTCCTTTCAAAAGAGCTGTTTTTAGAAACAAGTGTGTTCAAGAACTTTGGCCCTTCTACTATTTTGGTCCATTACAGTAACTCTTTCATATTGCTTATTCTAAGGAGGTTTAAAATCTTGATATTAAACCTCTGAGGCCTTGGTTATTCTATCAATTAGAAATGATTGAGAAAAAAAAAAGGCAAAAGCAAATTGTTGAAGGGCCTAATGGGTCCATTTTAACCCATTCAGGACCTTTAAGGGCAGGATGACATGGCAGGATTCGAACCCAGGACCACTTGGTTCTGAGCCAAATGCTCTGCCATTATGCCACACGAAATGGACTGTACCTGGAATTTTCCTCCTCTGTGTGAGGCGAGGAGGGCCGAAGCGGAAGGACTCGGTGTTCTGGGCAAACTGTTGGTCCAAGAACTTCATTTTCCTCCCGTTGTACCAGGCAGATGGGAACAGGGTGGGCAGCAGGACTTCCTCGAGCCAGCCGTACAACTGGTCTGGAGTGCTGATCTGTTCACAATTAACGTGATCATTTTCTATCAGCAGAGCAGTTATCATTGGTTTATTTCAAACACAAATCACAATACAGCGCCATCACTTGCCACAAGGCTGAATTGTGTGAATAAAAGCTTTAGACAGTGAAATAAAATCCTGGTCATCATTCCGTGTTTTAAAAACAGTCATTAAATCATATCATTAAAATCATATATTTACACAGAATATTCATGATTTAAAATGTGAACAAGGTACGGTAATGTACTTCTGTTGTACCGCTCTGTGCGCGCTGGCAATTGGTCAAGTTTTGCATGTTGTCTAGTCATCCTCCCACTGACACTACCCCTGGTTTGGGGCAGCCAGTGTCGGTAGAGAGTTGTATTTATTACTTATATCATACCCCATAACCTTTGATAACGGTGTTTTGGACCGGGTCGTACTTTATGGTAAGGCCTGGGCTTCCATAGAATAATTCAAACACGTTTCACCCTAACACGATTCGGACCATGAAATTGATGTTGGTGCATTTTTTGGTTTAGGGGCACCAAAGGCAGGGGTTTTTCTGAACAGGGGAACAAGGGCGCAGCGCCCTCATGTAACAAACCAGCGCCCTCATATCAATTTTCAGATTGAAGCCTAAGTCTTTTTCAAAATCATCTTTTTCCAGTAAAAATACAAAAACAACACCACATAACAATACATTCTAGCATTACAAACTATGTTACTCTCATAAAAATTCCAAAATCTTACCACAAACTTGAAAATTTAGCTCTAGTAGTAAAAGTCTGAATGGAATAAACAATGTTCATTCAGAACTTGCTCAAGACATGTAGCTAGACCTCCTTCATTTGCATACTATAGAACAGGCTCTGAAGTGAAACATGAGACCTGAGTTTGTAGCAGCTTGGATGAATGTGTTGCACTTGTGCCATGGGAAAGGTTTCAGCTTGTGGCAAACCCAATGTTGTCATCTGGAGCTACTAGTAACATTGATCACTAATTATAAAGGATGATTTGCAGATTGTGTGTACTGTTGATTGTACTTATACTTTATAGGTGAAATATGCAATGCATGAATAGAAATTTGGGAAAGGTACATTGAGGTTAAGAGTTCAAATTTCCCCCCTCAAGTAGCCTCAAAATGTCCCATTTCAACTTCAAATTTTCAAAGGCTTCACATGGCGGAAGGGGGGAGACCCCCCTTCCGCACCAACCCCCCCCCTCGGTCGCTTCGCTCCCTCGCCGTGATACTGCTCCCTCATGTCAAATTTTTCTAGAAAAACCCCTGAAAGGTTTTATTTTTTGTTGATTAATTGCTTTACCTATATGTGTGCACTTGCATACATGTTTGTTTTTGCATATGTGTTCAAATGTTATAAAGACAGTATGTATTAAGTTTATGCAACGTACTGTTTACTTATACGCATAAAGTAAATAGAATTAAAAACTGAATGAACGTACTGTATTATACTCCTGTAGAACTGTGTTTGAGAGTGTCCTGGTCTCGTAGAAGGCCCGCTGGTCTGTGTCCGCCTGGGCGAGGTAAAAGAAAACAGCCACAAAGACAAACAGCAAAAACAAGTCCAGGAGTGTCGAGACTGACTTCTTAGTTAGTTCCTTCTTCTTTCGAGCCAATTGGGCACCTGGTTTAGCAGGTGGGAAGATCTTCCTCGGTGCTGTTTTAGGAAACATCAGACAAAATGTGAGACTTGTCATGTGGCTTCTCTGAAGTTTGACGTCAAGACTAGAGAAGTCACATCCCAAGTCTCACTGGATCTATTGAAGAAGACCAGAGTTCTAGTGAGAACAATTCTTTGTGTTGGAACGAAAGATTGAACAATAATTGTCATTTTTAAACCAACACAGATGAACTTTCAGGACAGTCACAGTAAAAATGAGATTATTGAATAAGTGTCATGGTAACAAAACATAAACTGATTCTTATTTGATGGCAATTCTAATAGATTACTAACCTTTTGAGTTCCACAGGTTCAGCTCCAGGTCTTCTTTCCGTATAGCCGGTGGTTTGGTAAGGGAAGGGAGGCTAAAAATGACAGCGAAGACACCAGCAAGGGCAAAGATCTGTCAGGAGAAACAGGGAATGCACCTTTAGGGTCATTTAAGTATACGTCCTTTATCTGTATCTGCATAGCCGGTATAACCACCCTTTGGCGTATCACACCAGCTTTGCAGGCATGCAGCACAGCAGCAGCTGGCTACATTGCGTAGTGGCAGCTTGTTACACCTAATTGCCTTTGAACATCTAACTCTTACCATTCTTTAATAGGTAACTTTAATGCCCCCACTGTACTTGGTGGCAGCAAGTTCCACTCTACGATCATAGCTCTAGGAAATAATGAGTTTTTAACACCTCAATCCTTGGTTGATAACTCTCAGGTACTTGAAGGCATGACTTTTATGTGTACATTATTTGTTGTGTAAAAAAAGAGCTTCTTTACTCTATAATATTACCTGCAGTGTTTCGGTCACACAGCTGGAGCCCATGAAGGACAGAACAAAGGCCTTCATCCAGGCATCACTTTTCTCCTTCCCCCAGTCCATACTGTACAGCAGCACGAAGAACGCAGAGCTGGTGGACACCAGGAACACGGTCACCCATGCCACGTACTTGGCCAGGCTGGACAGACGGCCTGAACATGAGGGTTGATAAAGAGTGTTTTTGATACAGGTTGGCAGCTTTACTTGGAATAGGTTCAGAAGAGACTGAGCTAATACATGGCAAAAATATTAGCTTTCACGATATGATACTTAGACGGAGACACAGAATTACTATATTGTGATGCTTATATGATCATACCAGTAGTAGGGCTTGACAACAAGTCTTATTGATAGGCCATTTTTCAGACCCTTCTCATGCTGAGAGAAACTCTGGTTAACGTAGGGGGAATTCAATCATTGCCATTGCAGCATATACCAAACACGGATACAGTACACACATCATAGTAAACATGCACTCCACACACATTGTCATGATTCCATCATCCAGACTATGAACATGCCTTGTTCCATACATGTACATTGTACCTCGCTTGGACCTCCGGATTGACATCTCCGGAGTGTTAAGAGACAGCGGTGTCTCCTTCCGGAATAGTTGCACAATCATGAGATTGACCGGAGCCACAGTCAGCATGGACATAAGGCTGATGTACAGCTCCTGCAAAATTACGCAGACAAACAGATACATTGTATATGTAAGCATATGGGTCAGCAAATTGTAATAATGTTTATTATTATAATAAGAAACTAACACAGGCAAAAGATGTGCACTTTTAATGTAACTTATTAACTTAAAAGGAACCTTTAAGTTAGTATATACATGTAGTAGAGTGGATTCACTCCCCAAGCTAATCTTGCACATGCAGTTGTCCTTCAGTAAGACACCTGGAGCCACATAGTTCCTGTATAGAACTTTTATTCAGCCAGTTGTTGAGGGACTTGGTGTTTTTACTTTAGTCTTTTTACTGACTAGAAGAACAACATTTCCCATTCTGGAAAAAAAACCTGAAATTCAGAAAAATAGGTGGAAAGGTTGCATCTATCTTGCATCTCTTACCTCTGCTGTAAAACGAGCAATCCCCAGGTTGTACACTTTTGTGTCGGCAGTTGTGTCATCTTTCTGGTACCACATGGCGCTGGCCAGCATCATGGTGTTCAGGAGAGTAAAGCAGCAGGACAGACGCTGGGCTTTTGTGAAGCTGGAACCTACTCAGGAACATATTATGCAGAATAGCGTAAAAAAATAGATCAAGAACTAGACGTGTTTTCTATAGCAATGGATACCGGTGTTATTTTGATTCTCATGATCAGTCAGTCAGTCAGTCAGTCACTCTTTCACTCACTCACTCACTCACTCACTCACTCACTCACTCACTCACTCACTCACTCACTCACTCACTCACTCACTCACTCACTCACTCACTCACTCACTCACTCACTCACTCTCACTCATGCTCACTCACAATCACTCTCTCACTGGATGTCAGGAGTAATTTGGTGCATCCATTTACATTATTGTACTACCAAAGCATAATACTGTACATGTATAGCTCCTGCTGAAACATATCCACCTGAAGATGCATGTATACTGACCTGGTGCTGCCATAAGGGCTGATGCCCACAGGTGTTGATCATAGAGCACGTCTCTGGTTGCCTCGTTGAAGACATTAGTGGAGGCTGCGAGCTCCAGCTCTGTGCTTGCGTGCACCACCTTCTGCACTTCACCGTCACCCTTGTCTTCTGACAACCAGTCATTACAGATGAAGTAAGAACTGGAGAAAAATATAATGCGCCATTTTCATTAAATATAATTTTTTTCTGGTAACGTTATATATTATTAATAGCTCTTCCCTCACCACTCAACATCACCATCACCAAGTGGAGGATGAAATATGCTGGACATAACTCAGGATGATCGCAGACCACCATGCTAAGACATCCATGCACTGTAAACCAGAGGGTAGGAGGAAGAGAGGGAGACCAAAGCTAACATGGCGACGCACTTTCCAAAAAGACCTGGAAAATATAGGCGTGCTATTATATAGCTATTGGTGGAAGAGAAAGTGGAGAAAACATGCTGCCCAGTGAACTTCGCAAAGAACTTGGAACTACATCTACATTTATGTACTAAGTAAGTCCCTAACCATGCAGCATTTCTCTCTTTGACAGGTGACAGCCTACTGGCCATCAATGATAAGCAAGGACGATCATTGACCTTATTTCTCAAAACAACAGCCCACTGTATCCATGACTTTTACAGGAAAAGGATTTTTTTTGGCAATGCCACAGGTGTAGAAGCATTGTTTTGTGTTTACATAATATATGCATGCTACAAAATAAATTTTTCAAGTCATGCTGACCAATGTGAATATAAGATGGGAGAATAGTTCGATAAGAAGGCAAGTAAAGTGAATTGGAAGCCACCAACCTGCCAGAAAAGATAAAATCTAGTAACTGTTACTAGTACTAGTAACTTAAAGAAGAACACCATATGTTTTCAAAGTCTTACATCACATCTGTTTCTATATCTCTGACGAAAACCTTTTGGAGGAACCAGGATGACCTGTCACCTTCCCCAGAGTTATCATGCCAGATGTACAACAACATCACTTCTCCGAGTGACTCTCGCACTGGCATGACAAAATGTAAAGTACTTCCACGCACCAAGGCCTGTAAGGATTATCACCAATGACAAATATTAAATGACAATATGTATGAGAGTAACCTTTCATCCAGAAAATACTTGGGGCAATGCTGACATTGGCTTTCTTTTACCAATAGATTAAGATTACCAATGACCAGTATTATTTGATGTGATCATTTTACACTTTCAACTGTAATGATGGAGCTATACTACTCGTAATGAGCACCCTCTTCTTTGGAAAAATACCAATCTGAGAGTCTATATCATCAATAAGAGCAGGTGAAGTTTTTGTATCCAGAGTATTCTAGAATTGGTCTGACGCACCTCCAGAACTGTGTCTGGGACATAATTGACATTCTCGGAATATAAACCGTGATCTATCCTACATGTACATGTAACCCTAACCCATTCCATTCTCCCACTCAGAGCTATTCAACAATATATGTAGCCTTGATCAGGCATAGGACTAGACAGGCATGGTTCTAGATACCGTACCTCTCCTCCAGGGTTCAGCATCTTGACTGGGGTCGTGCCCTCTGACCCGAAGAGCTGGAAGGCGACCCGTGAGGTGGTCCCAGCCCCGAGCATGGACCCGGTGGTGACGGTGAGCTGATACACATGGGGTGCCGGCATCCTGTCTGGGGGGATCAGACTCACCTCTGGCAGTGTCTTCCTTTTGATCTGATCTGCCGCTGAGACTGGACCCACCCGAGTGGTGTGCAAATGTCGTAGAACAGGTGAGGCAGTGTATACTCTTGCCTGAGGACAAATGTTATACAGCAACCATATTTTAACAAGAAATCTGAGACTGCAAACTTACAGGGAGTAGATATGAATGATGTGCAATTAAATGTGCAAAGATTGACTGTTTGAACAAGTCGTTTGGTGTAATATAGCTAGCTGCCTGCGAAGCTGGTGTGTTATGATGAAGGGCGGTTATACCAGCTATACCGATGCAGATACAGAATGAATTGAACATTATTGCTCAACAATCATACATAGTGCATTTATATATGGAAGCTAAATGAACAATCATTCAATACTACAAGCCTAATCTATCCTACATGTACATTAAAACTACAAAGTTAAGGTAAGTTAAAGCCCTCCCGCAAGCCCTTGGGCCCCACAGTTGTGCAATCACTACAGTATGGGAAGTGAATTCAGTAAATCATGCTAAGCCCTACCTTCATACGACCAAAGTCCACACACAGAAAAACCATGAGAATGATGTACAGGATGAACTCGGACACCACGATGGAGAACACCACGGCATTGTCACTCAGGTTGCGGAAGTTCTTGAATGCGTTCATGAAGTTTATGGCATTCGGGACAGGGAGAGTCATAGTCCCAACTGCAATCCTCGACCCAGTCATACGGCACTGGCAGTGGGTGATGGTTTTGTCCAGGTCTACTTCAGCCTAGTTTACAAGTACAGAAGGTATATGCGTCAGTGACGGTTAGTCATCCAAAAAAACAGTTAGTAACACTCAAGCAACTGGATATGATTTTGGAAATGGTCAGACGTTTCAGGTAGAAGTCCAAAAGGAAACAAAAGTTAGACAAGTCAAGACAAGAATGATGCAAATTATTCAAACAGTAGGTATATGATACACTCATGTGAATAATTTTTGGACAGAGTACCAAGCAAATATTACATTGAATTTCATAGCCCTCCATTAATGATGGTATGTTGGTAGCCCTGTTTGTCTTATATCTTGTTTGCTGGCTTGTATCTGATGCCCTACATGTACATGTAGCTTCTACCCAGTTGGGCATTCTGTTTTCTTTAAGTGTGCTAGATTTAGATTTACAGTTAGTTTATCTCTCATTTTAAAGTAAGTTCCTTCCTTTAACATATTGTAGTATGAACTAGAAATGTAACATTTGCAAAGCAAATGCATCATGTCTACCTTCTTATGGCCGAACGAACTTCAGCTTTGTTTATTCGTACTCAAACACACCCAAATATATGGTGACCATGTAGCCCCACTTGAACTCAGTTCCGCATGGCACTTGCAACATGACGTAACCCAACACCAGTTACCATGGTGACAGACGTCTGGTCCTGGTCATTGACGTTTGGAGAAGAAGAAGAGGAAGAAGGGGAAGAAGAGGAAACAGAGCAAAAACAAGATGTTTTCCTTCTGCAAAGGTTAACATAATAATCAGTTACTCACATTGCAGTTTGCCAACTTCCATTTCTCTTCCTCCTCATTCCAAGACAAACAGCCAAAATCCGAGACCGTCAGTCGATACTTAGAGGCTTCCTTGGGTTGACCCCTTGCCATCTCTGACAACCTATCCACATTACCTGAGGATGATACAATAACACATAATTCAGGACTAAGGACAGAGGTTAGTTAAGAAAATTTGTTGAATGAAAGATATGAATGACACATTATTCTATAATTTTAAATCACATATCACCAATCCACGCGAGCTGAGGATGACACAACAACATATAATTCAGCACTAAGGACAGAGGTTAGTTAAGAAATTTGTTGAATGAAAGATATGAATGACACAGTATTATATAATTTTAAATCACATATCACTAATCCACATGAACACATACAATAACATATAATTCAGCACTAAGGACAGAGTTAGTTAAGAAAATTTGTTGAATGAAATAGAAGAATGACACATCGTTATATGATCATATCACTTCATATTTCTAGGACTGAAAGAAAGCATTGTATAGTACCTATCTCCTGCACTCCTATGTACAAATCTCCACTGCGATCTGTTGTGTTAGGGGTGAATGAGACTGTATAGTTAGAGGTTTCCATGTACCGGGCCTCTATCCAGTCCTGTTGAACAACTCTTTTCTCCGCATACTTGTCGAATGTAGGGCGAGACCCATACATGAAGTACACATGAAAGGTGGCCTCTACGTCCCACCACGTCATTTGGATAATAGGAATGGTGTCGTCGTTGGGGAAATGAAACTCGTGGTAGGTCATGTTGGTCCCATTGGCATTGCTTGCCATTTTATGCAGCACTTTACTGTTTGTGTGTGGCGCTCTTCTTTTTCGTCTTCCATGCCTTGAAAAATCAGATGACAATGGGAAGTCCAGGTTTATCTGTAGGTCTTTGGATTCACTCCCTTTCACGGACAAAAAAATTACAGGGGATGAGATGTTTTGTCCTCCGGTAGACTGTTTCCATGAATATGGGTTCTTCTCAAAAACTGACATCTGTAATAAACAAGAGAAGGGCACAAAAATGACTTTAGGAAGTACTGGAAAATAGCTTTTGTATAATTTTGAAAATAGAATGCATCTCTGAATTAATTGTACAAGATCTCGATGTGATCACATTATGAGTATTTAAGCTTACCCTGACATCTAGCATGTTGCTTGTCCGGCTGTCATTTGAAGTACGTACAATAGTTACAGCAGTTTGGCCTGAGTTGAGACGTAAGTTTTCACTCAACATGGATCTGGACATGGTAACAGCAACGTCCCTAGTTGTAAATGTTGCCTGGTATTCTGTGTCCTCTGGCTGCAATGCTAACAGTGTGTCAGCAATGTTGTCCAATGACGTCACAATGTTCACTGCAGCTCGTTGTTGCTGTCATATGAAAATACACATTGTTGAGTTAGTGATACGCCAAAAAACAGTTACTCAAGCAACTGGATATGATTTTGGAAATGGTCAGATGTTTCAGGTAGCATCCAATACCTTTAGTCAATGACACTAGAGACTTGCAGTAGAAAGGCAGGTTTATGAGCACAAACTAGGTTATAAGCAAGAACTGTTTTTCTGCAAATTAATGTTTTGGGCACATTAGAAGACAATCATCGTACCATATCTTCTTTTTCCCGCCGCCTGTCTTTCAGCATCTTCAGTTGCTGCTTTGGTGAAAGGTCACCAGAGTTGACATCAACGAGATTACTTTGAAGCAGACTCTTGACATCAGCCGTAATCGGAGTTTCTCCCTCCGGTAGCATACCGAGAATGGTTGAAGCTGTCTCTACCAATGCTAGAAGCAGATGATAAATAGATAAATTTTTGTGGACAACCATTTTCTGTTTTTGATCGTATTAATCAAATGTCAAGCAAATAAAGTTTGACCACTTCCTTAATGATGCATTATGCTGGAGCACGTCTTCAATTAATAATAAAAAGACATCAAGAGAAGACAGAAAAGCATAGCTGGTATGCTAGGTGGAAAAAGATACAAATAAAAGTTCTTACCGTTGGTCATGGCTTCTACGTTTCCTACTGTCATGCCTTGTGCTCCTCTTGTTGCATCAACAAGCTTCTCGATGAGTTCTGTTGTACTTTGCTGTGGGAGAACAACAAAGTTATATTCTACAAGTTTCTACAACACCCTTGTCCAGTCATGTGTCCTGGTTAACCCTTGACTCCCAGGGCATGAGACTACCCTTCGGAGCTGATGAAAGATTCTTAACATAAACATTTTAGCTGTGAGTTCTAGTTTAAATCTCCCTCTGCGAGAAACACAATCTGTTCAAATAATTCTCTACGCATTCTTAAGTGCTGAGATATATATGTACAGATAGCCAAACTTGTGAACATTAATCCTGAGCAATTATACCATAATTACTAACTGTAACAATTACTTTAGACGTCATCAATGAAGTATGAAAGTATATTTCAAAATGTTTCAAAAAGAGAGAAGAAGCCATTAGGCCTTAGATCTATACCATTTTATTATATATTTCTTTTTTTAGCATTGCATACCTTAGACCTGATGTTAGCCCTTCTTTATTTTGTTGTTACGGTAGTACTATCTAGTACATTGAACTTTGTACATCTGTGCATTTACCCCCCCAGGGAATGAACATGCAATAAAGTTCCATTTATTGTCAGGTATAGCAAAGCCAGAGAGACATGATTGTGAAAGAATATTTACCATAACTGATGGCGGCATTGCTGACCTGGCGTCCGCCCCGATGATTTTTCTCACGTTGTTCAGCTCAGACAGGATTTCTTCTGGACTTGCCTTGTCCAGAACTCCTGATTCCACAGCTTGTAGCATGTGTAGGAGCTGGGATATACATGTACAACAGACAGAAATAACAGTTCTTTAGTGCAAGGTATAGAAAGGTAAAATACATGTATCTCTAGAGTTGGGAAGCAATAGTTATCTGGCACGTACATATGACCCTCTACTACGGTCTCGTGTCTCTGATGTTACGTTCCAAGAGCAGACAGGTCCATTTCCTGAACAAGGCTGAAGGAGTCAGCTGAAAATTTGGGGTAAATCCCTAATTTATTCCAGTGTTGGAAAGAAAGTATGTTCAAAGAAAGTAGCAAAGTTTAATCTTCTCTATTTCTAGTTGTTTGTGATGCAGAGTTATTATGCAAATGCTGACAGCAGATAGAAAGAGACAGGTAAAATCTGCGTTAGCATAGTATACTAGTATGCTGTACATGTAGAGATTGCCATACCTGTTCTTCAGGACCCTCAGTTGTTTTAGCTTGGAATGTATTGGATACCCCTGGACCAGAATCTGGAACTGAGGTTAAAACATCCACATTAATAGTGGGTTATATCCTACTAGTGATATCTTTTGTAGCAATTGCCTTCCTACAGAAAGCCACAATGACTGTTTTGTGCTTTATCTAGTACATAAATGTAAGTATCAATGCTTAAACAATGGTTATGGCGAAGTCACATTCATCATAGGTTGTTGTAACTTGTAAGATTTTGATGTTTAGCATGATGGGCTAAACCAAATGCTGACATACATGTAGGTCGCAGACAGCCTTTCTGGTAACAAGACTTCAGGGCAAGCTATCCAAGGAGGCACTTGAAATGGCGTACAACACAATGGTCAGACCAAAACTGGAGTACGCCGTCGGGGACTTGTCCTACTCATCCAGCAAGAGTGCATTACCAGGCCGGAGCCTTGAGACGTACACCATCAAGCGTCGTCATGCAGGAGTTAGAATGGGACAGTCTGTCCACCAGGAGGCAGTTCCATTCTTGGTTCTGATGTACAAACTGGTGAACGGACTAGTCCCCCCTCACCTCCAGCCACTAACTCCCACCACACGAGGAGACCAAAGGGTGACACGTGTTCAGCTGCGGAACGCTATGCACCTCCACTTACCTCGGTGCCGTACACAGACGTACCAGGCCAGCTTTCTGCCTTATGCATCACGACTGTGGAATCAGCTGCCTCAGTCTGTTAGAGAGGCCCGCAGCATTAGTATATTTAAGAACATGTGTCAGGCCCACCTGCTCACGCAGCAGAAGCACCAGTTGACCCAGAGACGTGGGCCCCAGACACGAGAACATTCTGGCGGCTAGAAACCGCATGAACTGTATCTAGTACTAAATGGACTGATATACTATTATTCTAATCTATGCTGTTTTTAGTACCCTTTTACTTATTTTTATATACTTATACTAGGTTTGTCTTGTTTGTGTGCTTGTGTTTGTTTTGTGTGTGGGCCACAACACCAGCCCCCGCTGCCTGTGGCCCAGGAGTATTGTACTTGTTTGCAATCCTAATAAATCAAATCAAATCAATCAAATCAAGACAGCAGAATTTTTTACAACACATGCATGACTATCCCTAGAATGCTCTCAGTGATAATCATACAACAATAGTATGGCAATAGTACGATGATAGTACGACTGACTAGACCCTAACTCACCTGGTGTTGCGGCCTGTGTTGTCAGCGTAAAAGATGCTGACTGCCCCTGTAGGGTACCTGCACACAACAGATCAACAAAAAGTCACATGCAGCCAGTAAATGTAATCTAATAAAAAGGGTACATAAAATCCACCTCTAAGGTAAAAAAAGATGTGACAGACATAACAGGAAACAATGCTAGAATGCATTGTTTTGACATCGGTTCCTAGTAAGCTTGGTTAGAGCCATATAGACTCCTTGGTTAGAGTACATGTACAATGTACTTAACAGCTAGATGTACATAATACACATGTATGTTTCATCACACTCACCAGTAGTACTAGTTGTGGTGGTACCTGCTTCATCGTAGGTCTCCTTTGTTGTCCTGATGGGGCTTCCTGAACAAGAAATCAGATGATATATCAGACTTCCAAGAATTGTGAATTTGTAACAGTTATTGTCACGTGATTATCCCATCAAGTCACGTGACAAGAAAACTCCAAGACGAGATCTTAATTGGGTTGAATAAGAGACAGAGTAACGTCTCGAAAGCTCCCCAGCATAGCTGAACTTTTGTTGTGTGTATTCGTATAAATATTTTGTCAAAAGTAACAGTTATTGTATTGTATGAATTACATCTTATAAAATGGATTATTACTCATACATATGACAATACTACATACTAGTAACTACTAAGGATGAGATACTTCACCTAAACCAGGGCTACCCGAAACAATACTTTTAAATTAGTAAATGATTATTCATTTCAAGTTTTGGTCTTTAGTGAAAGGGGATGACGACTTACCTGTTACACGCTGTATAGGGAGGAACCCTGCGTCAAATGGTTCAGTCGTGGAGGTTGCAAAGGGAGTCGATGTGTATGCCTCAGTCACGGTGTATGTTGGTGAGATTGACCCTTCAAGTAAACATGAAATGCGTCGGTGAAGGTTAGACATCCAGGTAAGAAGATTATATTGTAAGTTAATGCCAAAAACAGTTACTCAAGCAACTGGATATGATTTTGGAAATGGTCAGATGTTTCAGGTAGTATCCACTACCTTTCGATGCTATCTGAAATGTCTGACCGTTTTCATAAATGTGCCCCATACATTGTGTAACAACAAAATCTACTTCACTGCATACATGTATATGCATAATATAACATATGATTATAGATGTCTTGAATGGATGGTTAGATAAATACAATACATAGTAGTAAAATAATAACAAATACAGCCAACAAACACCTCAAGTGGGGCTGGAAAGTATTAAATCCAAGACGCCACCATTCTTTTTTGTTGTTCTGTCTTTTTTTCTGTAAGAACAGTTCATGCCGTACCTGTTCGTTTTGACAAAGTGATTTCAACGCTTCGCCCTTGCTCACTGATGGCAGTTATCTTTATAGTGTACTCAGTTTCAGGCAGCAGGTCTGTGAAGTTATAGGATGTCTGCAATCCATTCATACTGTAAACAGAACACACCAGTGAAAATCTATTGATTAATGTACACTCAGGTGAAATACCATTTCCAAGAGCATGGGGGCAAGTCACAGTGCTGTACATTACAAGAACTCATAAAGTTTCATGAAATACAGCATATTTTTTTTGCATTCTGCTCTACTATTTTTTGTCCTAGAAAATGTGCCACATTGCAAATGATACCCAACAATTGCTCCACATGTTATGTTACATAATAGAATTACACATGATGCCACAACAGAAGTGAACGTTTACAATGTACCTGAACAAACGCCCTGTGCTGTCAAATGGGTTGGAAACTTTGATTTCAAATGACAATATCTCTGCCACATGAGCCTTCCACTGTAAGACCATCCAGGTTGCAGAAAGGCCACTGACTTCCAGACTTAAAGGTGGGTCTGTGTTTGTAAGTAAGAGACACAAATGACAATCACAGAGCAAAAACAAAGTCTAACAACATTTACTTTTTGGATATACAAATTCTCTTGTTCCCAACCAGGAAAGACTCCTTCCTTGCTAAAGACTATCACCTTTTTGGAAGTAACATTACTTCTTACGTCGATAAAGGTTAGACATCCAGATAATACGATATGCCAAAAGTTACTCAAGCAACTGGATATGATTTTGAAAACGTCAGACGTTTCAGCTAGCTAGTATCCACTAGCTTTCGTCAAATCCACTAGTTTCAGCTAGTATCCACAAAAGCTAGTGGATACTACCTGAAACGTCTGACGTTTTCAAAATCATATCCATTTGCTTGAGTAACTGTTTTCTGGCGTAACATTACTTCTTATTACACTGATTTGTATAACATGAATCAAGCCCTTTTAAGTTAAAAGACAACTAACCTGTAAGAATGTTTGTACTGACTGCGATGCTCCTTCCAAACCTGCTAACGGCCACCAAGTCGATGTCGTACGGTGTCCCAGGAATCAAACCCGTCAGCTCACAGTGGTTCACGTCTCCTGATACCTCTTGTGACGCCATAATCCCATTTCCGGTGTAGTTGATGGAGTATTTGATGATCACACCTCTTGGGGGCAGCCACGAGATGACTAAAGTATCGGTGGTCTTGTCGTCAACATCCAAAGCCAAAGGAGGGTGGGTTTCTGCAAAATGGAGATAGAGCTATGGCAATGTGGGGATGGTACAGTGTACTACATAGGGGTGGAAGGCACTTCAGTACCAATGTGGGGAGGGTACAGGCTAGTTGGTAGGGGTGGAGGGCTATTATTGATGCTTACACATGCAGATTGTAGCAAATATGTGTTTCCACCTAAATATTGTACACAAAATGGTGAAATATCAGCCTTAAAGGAGTACTAACCTCCAGAAGGGGGTGCTATATTTCGACAGGCATTTATTTTTGGAATTGAAAAATGCATATTATTTTACAGTATACAATTAAATGCCCATTTTGCGCGCAAGTCTTAAAACGCATCGAATCCAGGACAAACTCTCCAAATACCCTCAAAACTATCCCAGAATACACCACGCTACCCCATTGGTGTCTATGTTTTAAACAAAAAGTTACGTTACAGACCTCATTTCGGGGGCGATAAGAAAAATTCGTACCGTTTTGTGTTCTTTGGTATCTTACCAACCATTGCCCTTCTTAAAGTCCTTATCGCCCCTCATTTATGCCGAAAATATTGACGATGAAAAAAACGGCGTAATCTAGTTATCCTTTCCATAAGTGGCGTAATCTAATTATCTGTTCAAGTGATACTTACATGCAAATAAGTTGAGAAAATCAAAACTCGCAGAATGAAACTGGCTCTCACTGTATTCGACATCCTGATATTATAACATCCAAGCCACAGGTCAAGCAAAGTAAAGCAAGTAATTTCTCAATAATCAGCTTGTTAATGTGCTTGTCTTCTACCATTTTCGCCGAAAAATGTTTATGTTGACCTGAAGTGTATGAGTATTGCGTAAGCCAGAATTCCCGGATGTATCAATTGTGGTTCAGCATGGGGGACAATGATATTAATATCACTGTACAAACATGCGCCGCGCAAGTCGTACAAGCGAAATTATGTAAAAAGTCGGCTAGTTATGTATTCATTGCAGCATGATGTATCGGAAAATAGCACTTCCTTCTGGAGGTTAGTACTCCTTTAAATATGAACCCAGCCTTTTGTGTTGACTTCATGGTCCTATTGTAGCACTAGTACATATTTTATCAAACTAATTCAAAGCACAATATAGGCCCATACAGGTTGACTATTAATTTGATTTGGTGTATTGAAATTGTAACACTACAATATTAATAATACACATGGGACAAAGGCAGCTATTGCTGGTGTTGTGTCCCACACATAGAAACAAATACAGGACAGACAATACTATTTTTCCCTTGAGTTAAGTGGCATCAAGGGCACAAGATCGGTGGCATT